ACGTCAGACATCATCCTGGTGGGACTGAGAGATTACCAGGTGTGTATTTCCCTCACACACAACACAGATACGAATAAAGACAATATACATGTATATAATGCTTGGATAACTCTCACTATGAAGACACCACGCGTCTTATGGCTGTCTTTTAGGATAATAAAACACTAACATTTCTGCTGCATTTAACCTTTTAAGGGTTCTAAAGTTAATGAAGGAACCGCTACTAAATTACTGTTACAGTTGAATATCATTTTGTTAACGTGAAAAGTATTTTTTTTTGTCTTTTTTTAACGAGTTCATCTTAAAGGAATATAAAATCCAGTTACTCCCTGTATACAGTACTTAGTAAAAAAAAAACATACACCAAATGTAAATTAAACTCAGACAAGAGTATTCTACCCAAGCGTTAATATCGTAGTAATGTACTTACTGCGTTTCTTGTCGCTCATTTTAAGCACTTGGTTTTTATGTTTAACCTAAACATTACGTCATCGTTTTGTGTTTCAGGACAACAAAGCTGACGTCATTCTGAAGTACAACGCAGACGAGGCTCGCAGTTTGAAAGCGTACGGAGAGCTGCCTGAGCATGGTGAGTTAAACCAAAACCACAGCTGTTGGTTATTTATCTATTGTTGTGCCTATAACCTGAGGTTAACTGTGCCTAAAGCTGACCAGACTGCTGCGATTTTAAAGAACGGCTATCAGTTTCAGTTTCTGACTTTAAACAGCAGAGGTTCTCACTGTCTGGACCTTTTATTTAAACTTATTTTTATGTTTTTTTTATACAAATCATGTTCAGTGTTCAATCTGCTCTGTTAACATGTATTGTATTTGCTTTCTAACTCTTTCCCTCCATCTTCCTTCTCGCAGCCAAAATCAACGAGACAGACACCTTCGGGCCCGGTGACGATGATGAAATCCAGTTTGATGACATTGGCGACGATGAAGATGACATTGATGATGTAAGCTTATCTAATTTTACAATGAACTACTCTGCGGTGTTTAATAGTGACACTATTCGTTTTTTTTAGATAGATAGATAGATAGATAGATAGTACTTTATTGATCCCAAATTGGGAAATTGTTGTTGTTACAGCAGCATAAAAGGCATATACCTTAAGTCAAATGCTTGTCAAGCAGCCGTAAAGAAGAACTTTGTCAAAAGTAAAAGGAAATAATTCTCAATTGATTGACTATTGAGAACCTTGACTTGTATTAAAGTAGCAATAGCACACTGTAAATAGACTGTCTATATTCATAGATCTGTGTTCATTGCAGAATAAGTTTTATGGCTAACGGCACAAGAAAGAAAATACTTGAAAGACCATAATAAAAATGAAATATTTCTGTTTTTTCTCTTCAGATCTAAAGACTGCTACTGGAGGGGGAAGTTGGGATTTTACAAGAGATGCTCCAATTGGTATATTTTGAGCCGATACACCGAACCTACAGCTCTTATTTTTCATTAAGATCAGCCTATGCCAATCCAATACAGTTTATTAAAATGTTTCAATTGATTCCATTTTGTTAACCTTCAATAAACATCTTTGTTGTTTTTAAGAACTTAAAGTGCTTTTCACGTAGGGGGAAAATCATTCTTGAAAAACGGACTCTTGAGTTTATTGTTGAATGAATGAGAAGCTGCTAGTACTTCATGCAGTTGGATTGGAGAATCAAGAGTAGGCTGATCACCAGCGTTATATTTAGGGTGAATGTCTGGATGCTAGATTTTCATCTTTTTGATTTTTTATTCTAACATCAACGGCAAATTAGCCATCTTCATTTTTTTTATTGTATTGTCCTTGAAACACTTACTCTCTCGACGATACCACGACTGCAAAATATCTCACACCAGATGCACCATCTTTTAAAAAATGTATTTATATTGATTTCACACTATGTGGAATTTAGCAAGAAGTACCGAATCTCAGGATTCGTCAATAAAAAGATAAACCATGTTTGTGTTTTTCTCTGGCAGTCTGTATTAATGTAGTTGTAGCCTGTGAGGCAGTTTTAGACGGTTTGAATGCTGTTTAATGACAGAAGAAAAAAAATAACACTTTGAGTACAGCTCTGCATCTTTTCGTAAGCGGTTTCCACTGACATCTTTTAAGATTGAAATCAAAAGAAGAAACAATGTATTTTTCTATCGTTTTCCTTATTTGTCTTTTCTGTTATCATGTTCTGTTTTGAACTCTTCGCTGCTTGCTCTGCGGCTTCAACACACACACACACACACACAAAACTAGAGCAGCGGCTCCAAAACCTTTCCATCAGTAACCTCAGATCACAGCTCAAACAATAAACTCTAAAAAAAGAAAATGTCACATGAATAGTCGTTTATTTTCCTCCCTCAGTTTGGGAACCGCTGCTGTAGTTTACATGGAGTCTGTTGTAACAATGAATGACTAAAAAGATGTTTGAAGGCTGGGTTTCCAATAAAGATCTTAACTCCATTAACTGGGTGTTTTTTGGACACACTTCCTGCAGGTGGCGAGCTTGAGCTGAAGTAGAGATGAAGGCCCTCACGTTTTACAGAGCTGGATGTTGAAAGGGAACAATATGTACACCCAGGTTCCATTTCTGTCATTAGAGAAATCACTTTATTAGCCTTCTGTCCTTGAGCAAAGAGCTGAGTCCCATGCAGCTCCTGAGCCATCAGGTGTGTGTTTATTTCTGTGTGCTTCCCAGGGGCGTTTCCTGGACCTGGAAACATTAGGGGCTTAGCCCACAGTGGCGGCTCCAGAGATTTTCTTTTGGGGGTGCTGTGGGGTAGCTTGACGTTTCATAGAGGGTGCTCAAACATGTAGGGTTTCCCATTAAGGTACCGGGCGCTACAGTGGAATTTTCTACTGCAACACTCCCCACACGCACATACTGTACACAGTACGCCCGCGACTGTTACAATGAAGGCTCGATAATCAGCTCACGGCATATAGGCTAGGTGTAAGCAGGGGTAAAGTACTATTTTTATAAGTGGGGAGTGGACCTAATATCCTCTTGGGGGGGTCCGGGGGCATGCAATATTTACATATTGAAGTTAAAAGCATCAATCTGGTGCACTTTGAGAGCAAAATGAAGAGATCTATGGATACATCTCTCAACACCCATATGAAACAGAACTGTAAACAGATTTTCTTTTTCTTTATGGATATTTTACAAATCACTCCCCTTTTAAACTGTATTCTTGTTTTACTGTCATATAGTATTTCATAACAGTTTTTCCTTTATTCTCTTACTTTTTTTATAACTATAATGATCATATGAAGGTGTGCCTTTGAAAGAATCTTTTACATAATAATTGCATTCACTGAACACGGGAAATTACAATCCTGCCGTCCTCTCTAGTGTCATGATGAGGTTCAGGTAAAGCACGGTTAATGTATTATATTATTGAGGGAGAATTGTCCGGGGCTACAGAAAGGCGACACCACTGGTGCTTCCACTTTATAAACTTTATAATCATGTCATTGTAAATTTGTTCAGGTTATTTTTTTTTTTTAAATGTAAATATTTAATGTATTTTCTTTCACAGAAAAGCAAGAAATGCTGAGATATTGTCTAATTGAATAGTTAGACAATTTAAATGAAAAAGGCCCTGTCAGGCTTTCGCGACCCCTAGTGGGGATTGGGAGCCAGTGTTTTGTGCCCAATGTTTCAGAGATATCTTGTCTAATTTTATTTTTTCCACAAAATGTGCACATTTTACAGGATCCTCCCAAAAAGTAAAATAAAACATGGGCTAAAAATATATAGTTTTATGTACAGTTGTAGATATTTTATCTTCAGTTAAGTATTTAAATGTTCTGCTACTATAATACAAATATAATAAATCTGCCTTATTCTACACATTGTGCACTAATGCACCAATACTTTTATTCTAGTTATATTATATACTAAACGTGATTCTAAAATGGGTCATTGTAAAAGTAGCCTATATTTAAGCACTTTGAGCACCAGGAAAAGCGCTATATAAATCAAATATATTATTATTATATTTGATGCTAGTTCCTAATAATGCATGACTTTCTTGTAACAGTATTTCTACATTATGATAGCTACTTTCACTCGACATTTAAGACCTAAAAGTGATTCAACTAAAGCTTCTGAATACTTCTTCCCTTACTGCTTGCAATTGTTGCCATTTCTAATGCATTTGAATACATTTTAATGAACAGGTTTGTTTCTTTGTTAACACAGCAAATATCTTTTTATGCAATCTACACTCAACCATGTGGGTGCATTTGTATTTAGCAGTATGCACATGCTCAAATAAGCGGTCATGATTGTTTTCATGCTGGTTTCCAATAAAATACTTAGTGTAGTTATTAATAGTATTGTGGCAGTATGAGCACGAGTGACCCATATTGCACGCCTGCCTCAGAATTACGTCACTGCGCCGCTGGGGCTTGGTTGTGCCTGGCACGTGTGCTTTGGCACGGGCCAAAGAAGCGGCGCCAAATCAAGGCACGTGAGAGTGCATACACAATTATTAATATATTTTGTAATTGAAATGTATTTTTGACATTCTATTTGCTTAAAATGTGCCATTATAGGATGAGAAATCAACAAAGTAAACATACAAAAATAATATGAACATTTATAGAGTTAATAAAAAGGTTTGCATTGTATTTTACTACTTTGACTGGCTATTATTTATTATTCCGACAGGCAACAAAAGTCTAACGCCGAAGGTTGCTAAGCAACATGTGAACAGCGTCAGCAGTGTTTTTTTTGTTCTTATTCTTTTGGCGCATTCAATTGTAAATTGGCCAATTTTTTGTGATGCGGTTTGCAGGTTCGTTCTGACAGACTGGTGATCCGACCAAACAACAAGTATATTTATTTTAAATGTATACGAAATAAACAATTTTTTGTGTTGTTAAAAGAAAGAGAGACATTTTACCTCCAGTTATTAATAATATTTCTTTTTTTTGTCGAAGGTCATTTGTTGAAGGTAGGAAGAAAGTAGACCCCACGGTTTCTTTTCCGCCAACCAACCTTTATGTTGGCCACAGTATTGACACTTAAACGTGTTTAAACGACCTTAACCGTAGCTACACTATGACAAGTGCCATTTAAGCTAGCTCGGAGGCATACGGTTCTCCCCCTCCCCTCTCCGTCTCTCTTACCCGCTCCCCATCATATTTTCCTCCGTATTCTTTTCCCTGAGTCATTGTGTTTCTCCGGCGGTCTCCTGTGAGTGTTTCTCCGGCTCTCTGTCTCCTATCAGGTCCCTCTGATGAAAACACTCGACGACATTTGACATGACTGAAGTGGCTTCTAGCTGCCCTGAGATGACAGGTGAGGGATAACATTCTGTAATTGATATTTTATATTTATTTCATTTACATAGACTGTCAAGGGATGGGTGCAAAATGTACTTGTACACGCATTCACACCCTAGCAGTTCTTGATAGGGCTGGATTCATGTAGATGTATAGGCTATGCAGCAATGTTCACCACAGTTTGAGGCTCCTTAAAGAATAACGTCATCACTAAAATTAGATTTTTTGTGCTATGCATCAAGATATGTATTTATTATTTTATGGAGATCATTATATTTGCATCCTAGATGTTTAAATATTAGCATTAATCAGTCATTGGTACTGCAGTGAAACATTGTATTTGCAGTATTTTACATGCCAACATATATACCCAATAGCTGCATTTGATACAGTATAAAGTATAATTTCTGACTAATATCAGAATAAGTGATGTTGATCCACGTTTTACAATATACAGTTTATTTTTAATTATACTTTCTGATTCAAACAACAGACTGACTGCTAAATGTTCTTTCAGATGTTCCTTAAATCAGCCATGTTCCCTCAATAATGCAGCAGCTTATTTCCAGCCTCATATCGTCTTCAAAAACATGTGATGCAGCTGATTTATTTTGCATGTGATGTAATTTTGAGTGAAGATCAAACAATAAGAATTTAGCTTTAGATGTGAACGTATTTGCATATCTATAAATAACAGCTTGTGTGTTGGGAGGTCGTCCCTTGGGTGTTTGTGTACGTTTGCACAGACGCTTTTATGACAGCTTTAGGAATAAAAACATAACAGGAAGAAGGCTGAGGGTGACACACAGGGGTCCTGCACTGTCATCAAACATGAGATTTATTACATTTAGAGGCTATTGATAGATGCAGGAGTCACGTTCACTGCCCCAGCTTTACATTTTTAGCAGCATTTAGCTCTCGGGCAGCGTAGCATGAATCATGTGTGACTGTTTTCTCTTAAAAACACAGCGCTGGCCCCTCCTCCTGCACCGCTGACCACCAGCAGGAATGCATCTCCTGCTCGGTCCCCATCCAGTCACAGCCCTACAGGTAAACTTATCATCAAACCTCTAATCACATTAAATCGTTTTGTGGGGGAAACTTCTGAAGCAATTGGAAACAGGACTCAGAGAGGCACGAGGAGAGCTGGAGCTTTGATGGCAAACACTGGTGGTTTATTACGAGTTACGGCCGGAGAATTGACAAAACAAGTGGTGTGTCACAAGTTGACACAGCGGTTGCCAAACCAATTCTGAAGAACTCTTCTGTAGCTCGAGGTTTTAACTAGTTCGGAGTGTAATAATCAACATTCTTCATCAGTGAGACTAAACAATTATGGACCCTGAATCTAACTAGAGCTCTCGTCCATAGGAAAGAATGTGCGTCAGGGAACCTACGTCCCTGAACAGTAAACTACCTCATGGCGGCTTGTGCTCTGTCATAGACTGGCAACAACAATGCGCCCAAGCTGCTCCTCCTTAAGAGAGATAGCAGCAATGCCCAAGGCCGTAGACCTATGCCATAGGAAAGGAGACAAGTGAGAGGAGAAAATGATGAACTCTGTCGAAGGTTGAATACCTAAGCAAATTATTCCCTAACACGTTTGATATACGTCTTCATAACCCAGGACAGGACACATCTTAAAATAGTACAGAATCAAGATGGGAAAAAAAACACAGTAGACACAAGTAGAAATGCTGCAAGTGCTCTGGATCCACCTCTAATTATCTTATTTAATAGTTATAATCTTATGATGTGGGTTTTATCACACTAATATAATTACTTTAATGAATAATGTTAATGTACCAGTTGTCTGACAGAACAATGATACACTATGAAACACCTGATATAAGATTAAAGATACTTGCACTTTACATTACATTACATTGCATTTAGCTGACACTTTAATCCAAAGCGACTTACAATAAGTGCATTCGACCAAGAAGATACAAACAGAATCATATAAGTACATCAGGTTTCATAGAGCCAAAACATTTCAAGTGTTACTCAACTGCCTTTAGATAAGCCAGTCCTTTGTTAGTATATAAGTGCTTTGTTAGTATATAAGTGCTTTGTTAGTATATAAGTGCTTAGTTAGTATATAAGTGCTTAGTTTGTATACAAGTGCTTAGTTAGTATACAAGTGCTTTGTTAGCCATTTTATTGCTCGAAGTGGAGTCGAAAGAGATGAGTTTTCAGTCTGCGCCGGAAAATGTGTAAGCTTTCTGCTGTCCTGATGTCAATGGGGAGCTCATTCCACCATTTTGGAGCCAGGATAGCAAACCAACGTGTTTTTGCTGATGGGAACTTGGGTCCCCCTCGCAGTGAGGGTGCAGCGAGCTGTTTGGCTGATGCAGAGCGGAGTGCACGTGCTGGGGTGTATGGTTTAACCATGTCCTGGATGTAGGAAGGGCCAGATCCATTTACTTGATTATTTACACTAATATTATACTTTTTTTACTCAACTTCATTAGTCGGACAGCTTAAGTTACTTTTCAGATTACAGTTTTTTACCACCTTCTGTCCAGTGAACATCATGTCTTTCCAGATGTGTTGAATATATGTCATAACGTGCGACCATCCAAAGAATAGCTCAGTGGAAATATTACATTTCAAGTCCTACAGGTAAATATGTGCTTAAGAAAAACTAAATTAGTATCAGCACTAAATTGCACTCATGGTCAGCATGGCCCCTAGGCATGTCTTAAAAAGTCGAAAAATATTTGTACTCCAGACCATTCATATTCATTTAATGTTGAAGCTGCAACAGTGCCCGTAGCTAACTCTGTCAACTGGTGTGTGCTAATTTAATTGAATATTTGCTCAAGAATATGCACCAGTAAATCACAATACTGACATAATAAAAGCCTTAAGGCGTGTCCTGATTTAGCACATAATCATTTTCTTTCATGACTTGTGATTTATATTCTTCAGAATGCAAAATATGCATATGTAACAGTGTCAAATATATTTCTGACTGTTTACATCCCCACACTGTTTAACCCAGGGAACAAGAGAAATAATAAGTGAAAAAAATGCTCTTTATAATTTGTATTTCAACTATATTCAGACTGAAGTATTTCCCATTAAGATCCAGAATCTCTTTTACAAGGTAGTCTTTGCCAAGACTGCAGCAATACACAAAGAACATGAAATCCACCTCACCTTGTAATTAAGTTGCCCTTACATTATTTCTACTTCTATTTTTTCGTTCTTTTATAAAAGCAATATACCTTCTAAACTAAAACCCATATTTTCCTGCCTTATTACATATTACATTATATGACCTATAATCTTTCATTTGCAGCAACTTTTCCGATTTCAATAATCAAATCCTAAAAAGTAGGTGTTCCGAATGCTTTCTTCATAACTTAATACCTTCAATCTTTGTCAACATCTAAAACCAGTAGAACATCTCCCCAAACAACCTAATATTCACCAGTGCCTACAACATAATGCTGATGTGTGAGTAAATGTTCTACCCCCCCTCTGGTTTCTGTGTGTTCAGAGGGGTCCGAGGGGCTGCCGGATAAGAGCCGGCGTGCTCAGCAGCAGCTGGAGCGCAGCACCGAGGAGCGAGGGAGGAAGATGGAGGTGCAGAAGAGGAAGGAGCAGCAGCGCCGGACCGCAGCCGGGGAGAAGAGACGGCAGCAGCAAGAGGCAGAGAAGGTCAGAGGTCACCGCACACTAATGGCGCGTGATGCCCTAAAGGAACATAGCTTAAAATACTGTCATTCAAATAATGGTTCATGAATTAATAAACTAGAAACAATAAACGTGAAAGCAGAAGCATTTTAAAACGCAGTGTGTATGAAGTAAACAAGACAGAAAACTAGGATCTGATTGGTTGCTAGATTTGGTACTTTTCCATTTTCAGTGACTAACATCAAAGCAGTCACAATACATTGAGACCAAGCACCAAAATCCTATATAACTCTTTTTTTGACATGTTTACTTGCTAAATTTGTAATTCAAATGAACTCAATCTGACTAAATCCAACTAATAATTAATATTTGTTTTATCTTATACTTCTAAAATGTGTTTTATATAATGTCTTAAACACCTTTTGTTCATTTTAATCCCAAAAGGTATGAATTTATTGTTAAAATAAATATTATACTCCTCCAATAACTTTATGATATCTCATACATGATATAAAAAGACACAAATGCAGCTGAAGCCACCTCTACATTGCTATGCTTTACTTCTCATCTTACTCTCATCACTCTGTTGTTCACACGTTTGTTATCACATGATCAAAAAAGCGTGTTTTCCCCCAATCATCGCTCTCTCTTTCTCCCGTTTTCTTTTTCTCTCTCTGAGCTCTGACGTGAAATTAATCGTGTCGATCCATAACCCAGTCAGTGTGTTTCCAGCTGTTGTTGGGCTGAACAGGACTTTAAGGGAATAGCAAGTAATTAATGCAGCTGTTCTAATGGCTTTCTGTCAGCTGACCAATTGTGTGCATTCAACTGAAACATGAAAAGTTAAGCTGGTTTTCTGCTCAGACTTAAAGCCACAGAGCCCAGACACTGGATTAAACACCCTTTACACCCACAACCAATACAGACAAGATGTACTATAAGTAGTTATGTGCATAAAACGGATGAAATGTTTTATAATCTTTAGGTCAAAATAGAATATATATACTTTTTCTGCTGCTCATAAAGACAGGAAACAGCAACACAAAAAGCTGAAAAATATTTTGTAAAACAAGAACAGAAAGACTTATATTACACATTAAAATAGTTCATGTTAATATCTGTGGCTTCAATTGTCTACTTCTTAGATAAATCTTCTAAAATATGTTGTCTTAATTGTGTTAAATATGTGTTAATTGTCAGAGGATTTCTATAACAGCTCCCTGGCTGAATGGAGGATGGAAGCTATTCTTATTATACCTCTAGCTTCTGAATTCTTTCTGTAAAAAACACAGGTGAAGGACTTTTGGCAAGCTATTTTAATTGCTATTTGCTATATAAGCGTATAGGGGTGAGGAAAACGTGAGAAAATTGCGATAAGAGATGATTTTTCAGTTCATGTTTAGGGATTTTTTCTAATAGAATAGCGAAGAAGCCTGAAACATGCATCATCTCCCAACATGAGTCATCATGAGTGGGCATCACTTGGCTGAGAACCATTGACATGTTGGTATTATAATCCTTTTCAGGGTTAAACATATATCCTCTGCTGTGTTTTCTGTTATAATCCTTTAGAATATGAATTATGAATGGCTTTTGAAACGCAGCACACCAAGGGTTAACAAGCCCCCCCGCTGAGTGACAGGCTGATCCAGAGAGAGTTCACCATTCACCGCTCAGAGAGAGGTGGGGTCGCAGCCTCTATTGATTTAAAAAGCTCTGTTTGCATGCTAACAGCCCCCTCCCCCTTCCCTCATATGCATAAATTAATGACATAATGATTGGTCAGCCTCATGGGGAAATGACATCACCGGCAGCGTATCATGTGCCGGTTACTGGAAGAGATATTCGATGCTCGCTGTGCTCTGACAAGCACATATTTCACACCGGAAAGGGAAATAAATCTCACCATCAGGCTGGTTCAATGAGGAAAACATAGATTTCAGAAAATGGCAGGGCGGAAAAATATCAGAAGATTTGTACCTGTATGTGCCATCTTTTGAAGAGGACTCTAAAACAAAGAAACACACAGAGGAATGAAGATGTTAGTTTACTCTAAAATGACAAAGAAAGCAGTAGATACTCACCTCTGAGAAGCTGGAACTAACAAATGCTTGACATTTCTTTATGTTAAATTACTAAAACAATTTCTGTTATCAAAATAGTTGCTAATTTCTTAGATGAATTTACTAATCATTCGAGCTCTAGATTGTAGTTTTGTGATAATTATCGCCCAAAATAGATTGATTTACAGAAGCTTTTTCTAATTTAAAACCTTTTTTATAATTTTTTTATTTTATATTGGAGTTTAGAAATGTAAACAACTTGTGCCTCAGTGAAGGATCATTTTTCAAACAGTCAGCTCCTTTAAGTTGTTCATATTCAGGTTTTCGGCAATTTAGATGGTATTTGCTGTGAGGATTATTTGATTGATTGATAGCTTTTTGGCTAAATCTTAACGCGTGAAGGTGTCCGAAAGCTCTCCGTTTGTACCTGTAATTCATGTGCTAGTGTGTCAGGCTTTCAATCTTTGCACGTAGGGTTATAAAACAGTCTGACAGGTCACCTCTGTGACCACATAAGGATTTCACTTTGCCACATTTTAATAAATGAATATTAACTTGATGCTGCAGTGCCCTTTATAAATAAGATAGCCAACAAGTAAATACTTCAAAGTCTGCATTGAAATGTATCATTTTCTGCAGAGAAATTGTAAATGGTTTAGTCTTCTTTGTTCTTTAATTTAATTTAATTTCAAACCTTTATTTAAGCAGGTGAATCGCATTGAGATCATCGATCTCTTTTTCAAGGGAGACCTGCTGCAAGTAGGTTCCACATGAAGACAGGAAAACATGAAACAACAGACAAACTAAAAGGACATCATACAACATAGATACAGGGATTTACAATGTACATACCTAAGGACATTTACAGGTACCAACAGTATCACATTGCATAGCAACTATATCTAAGGTATATCTCTTTTCCACTCCCACCCCCCTTCATCTCTCATCTGCTGTCTCTTTTTAATTCCCCCTTCTTGCCTCTACCCCCCCCCCCCCCTCCCGTCGTCCTCCTGCAGTTTGTGCGTGACTCTGCATGCACCTTCAGCAAACCCCTTTGTGCTGCTGAGGTGGGGCATTTCCATCCTTAAATATACACATGGCATGTTTCAGCTTTAAACTCTGCAGTTCAAGTTCTTATATATAAAACTGCTGTCTGCTTTCTTCTGACATTCATCTTATTGGGCTTTTTGTTCATTGTGCATACACAGAACATTATCCACAAACTCCTATCCTCGATAACAAATCATTTTCCTTATAAAGCGACACTTAGCCAAGATAATTGTATTAAATATAAATGAGCAAGTATCTATAGATAAGAGGACATTTAAAGAAAGCAAATACTGATAAACCTTGTGTGCACAAAATCCATTATATATAGGAATATTTAAATGAGAATCTGCTTTCTGACGCTGCCACATTTATGGCAATAAAAAATTGTAAATAGAAAAAGCAGGAAGCGAAAGAGAGAAAAATACAAATATATTAGTCAAAGAGCCATTTATTAAACAATTAAACCCTGAATTATATTATATTCTACATTCAAGCCACACCCTACTCATTTCCTCTTCAATATTAATATGCCAAGAGGAAAAAGAACAGATTAGTGCAGTGTACACAAAAGAATATGTAAAACTCTACAGGGAAACATTTATTATTCCTCACTTAGATGGAAAAGAACAATTCGTTTGCACAATATCCTATGTTGTATTGAATATAATGTGTTGTTTTGCTATGATTTGTATGTGTTTTATCAATTACCTGTACATTTAAAACAATGATACTGTGTATAGAGACAAGCAGGTGAAGGTAGAAAGAGTGATGGAGATAAAAAACCAGTATTCCCATTGTGCATGTGTGTGTGTGGAGGCATGGTCCCCTGTGTGTGTGTGTATTAATGCACGTACGTGGGGGGTGGTGACGGGTTGCAATTTCCTCTCCTCCTGTCTGACTAAACTGCTCTTTGAAATAGAGGGAGGGAGATCGAGGTAGAGAAAGAGAGAGAGAGAGAGAAAGGGAGAGGGTGGGGTGAAACATTGGGAGGTAGGGAGGGAGTCAGTGTTACCTAGAGGGGGAGGCAGACACAGAGAGAGAGAGAGAGAGAGAGAGAGGGAGCCGAGCTGCTGTATTATGTATCACTGAGTGTGAGGCGAGCCAGCGATCGAGCGCCGGTGACCGCCAGAGAAACGCTCGAGTGTGCAGAGGACGGAGGGGCGAGGTTCGCTGTTCTACACGGTTACCATGGCGCAGCTGTCTCCGTGCGCATCACCCGGCAACCGTCGCCGCAGTGATGGCTCAGTGAGAGAATGTCTGTTCTTCCCCATTTCTGAACGCAACGAGCAGGAGAGGCTGGAGGCCCTGGTGCGCCGGAGAGCTGGAGGCTCAGAGAGACGAGGAGGAGGAGGAGCAGGAGGAGGAGGAGGAGGAGGAGGGGGGGACCAACTGGATAACAGGCCTAAACGCTGGACGTGGGGAGGACCCCCTGATGGAGTGGATGGTGAGTACGATGGAGGGGTGAGGAGGGGGCTTTTGTTGACGAGTGATGATGTCAGTGTGGTTTTGGTTGGTTTGCGATGTAGAACAGGAGAGAGCACACGGGCGGATACTGATGGGGGCCGGGGGGGGGAGAGGTGTTTAAGGGGGGGATGGTGGGATGAAAGGGTGGGGACGACAAAGCGGAGGCTGTGGGTGAGGTGATGGAGGTGGAGGAAGGAGAAGGCCAGTGCATGGAAAAGGGTGTGGAGGCTGCAGTGCAGGAGCTGCTCCTCGCTTTGTCTCCAAACACCATCAGGGTTAGAGAGGCGGTGTGTGTGTGTTTACCTTCAGACATACTGACGCTGGGGTTTTGTGCGACAGGTGTGTGTTTGTATGTGTGTGTGTTGTTTAATTTCCAAGCTGGGAGGCAGCTCCAATTCCCAGAAGAGTTACACCTCTAACCTTGAATTCACCAAGGCCGCTGACATAAACACAGACAAAGTGCGACACAAGGCCAGCGTCCATGTCTCAGTTTATCTTCCGTATCACATCGTCCTTTTCGAGACGTCTCACTGAGGAGCCAGAGGGCCACCAGCTAGGCCTTACATCCTGCGGTGCATTCATAACGCCATCTATTATTGAGCCATCAGTCGTCCTGGCACTGACCTGGGATGAGGGTCCTGGTTTGGACGGGGCCCAGCTGACAGGCAGTCAGGCTGCTCTGGGATCAGTCGGTCTGCAGAACGCTCACTGCAGCAGAAACAGCAGCATCTCATCTTACAGCGCCACTCAATTTAAAGGACAGGGACTCACTAAAGTGTGTGTCTGTGTGTGTGTGTGCTGCATACCTTTCTCCTAGCTGGTCCACTTAAAAATCTGATAAAAGCTGCATTTGCTCGTTTTATGTCGATGGCGACACTCTGAACATGGGATACCTTTCAACTGACCTATTCGTGTTCACATGCTTTATGTTCTGGAAAATTGAAAGAAATATGGAGCCAATTGATCGGCCAATAATAAGCTATAAATCAAGCGGCTATAATAGGCTCCTTCAGCATGTTGCTAATGCACACAGGAAACATGCTGAGCAGCCAAACACTGTTCAAACCACAGAAAGGATTTTAAAATCTAGTGGAGATCCCAGAGTTTTGCAAGGATGAAAATCTGTCAGAATGAACTTCAGAGCTCAAACACTGAACATATGTTGTCAGGAAGTGTGAAATAATATGCAGAATACATGAATGTTTTTAGGGACTTAAGTTGGGTGGTGTTATTTAAATTGATGATCCTCTGGGTTCCCAAGTTTATCAAGATGTTTGTAAATATGTTAAAGCCTAGATAACTCACTTTTGTATTGCTGTTACTGTTCATGTTATAATAAAATGCAGCGGTGTGTTTTATTTGCTGTCAGAGAAACAATAAGAGAGCGATAAAGCTAAGCCGGTATCAGTGTAGCGATTGTGCGGAAAATAGGTATTGAAACGGTTTATAATATTCAGAATCAATATTTCTTGACAACACTAGATCCCAAAGGATGAATCCTAATGATTTTGGTGATCCTTTTATTTATCCTCTAGCATCATCATGGTTTAGAGAGAATGTCTCCACAGCTGTTTGGACACAATGTGGTGCAGACATTCATGGTTTGTGCAGACATAATCTTTTTAACAGTTTTTGTATGACTTAATTGACCAAAACTATCTCACAGGCTAATTTTGAATGTGCTTTATTGCCTGGTTGCATTTTGAATCTTTTTGACTTGATCATTTCGGCATTAAGAGGTATGTCAACCCCCTGCCTTAAGTCTTGTGTGGATCAAGTTGTTTGTTCACTGTTTATGTCAGTGTGTTTGTCTAGCTTGTGGACAAGAGTGTGTGTATGTGTGTAATGCTTTGCTCTCTCCGCTGTGCTTAACCTGCTGCCCAGGTAACCCTAAGACCCCGCCCTGCAATGCCATTGGCTCCACTCAGCCCAATGAGCTTCCTGCTGCATCCAACGCCAACCAATCCCGTAACGGTACAGATCACATGACTCTGTGTGTGCTACGCTCATACCGCCCCCCCCCCCCCCGCACCGCACCGCCACCACCGAGATCCTGCTGTCCCTCCTGCAGCTGTCCCTCTGTCTGCATGTGTGGTGTGTGTGGACGTGTGTGTACCGCCGCATCGGCTGTTTACCGTCTGCAGTGTGTTTATGGCGTGTGTGTACTGTGTCTGCAGTGTTGCTTGTAAAATCTTCTTATTTCTCAATTAAGAGGCAGAGTCCCTACCATTAAGGGAGTCCACTATAGGACCTTATTTTGGAAAGAAAATGTTTTGAAGTCAACAGCGTGAGATCAATCTTTTATCGATCCTGTTTGAATTAGGGCATGAACTACTGTACATATATGATGTTTGCTAATTTGAAAGATAATTTCGTCACAGTTTGTTGTGGTTTGACGTAGTCCAATTTAGTTTGTGTGAAACTGCTCAGTAAACATCCTCTGAGGTCTTGCACAATCTATGTCACCAACAATCGCTAGCTAGCTAACTTATTATATTCCATGCACAAATGGGATGTTACATTACCTGATTTGTTTGGGCGAGTCTTTCTAATTAACGTATTAGTCAACAACTGCTCCTTTCTTGACTTGCAAATGTGTCTTTTAAATTGACAAACATCATGTGTTATTCATGGGAAGATTCAAACAAGGTCAACCCATTTTTTCTCTGTCACTGTTGACTGCAGTGCATATATTTTCCAAAATAGTATTATTATTAAATAATTTCTCAATTTGGGATGAATAAAGTATCTATCTATATATTAAGGTCCCATTGGAGGAACGTCGCCTCACATACACATTCCATATCATACATAAACATCTTTGCACAAAGATGTAGCAAAATAATTATCTGGGTAACTATAGTTTGCACTGGTATCTCCTTCAAAATCTCAACTAGAGATTGTTTTTATTTGCAGAAGTACTTTGGTTGTATCTGGTTGCAGAAAAATCTCTTAAATCACACAAAAATGAATCTTTTGCTGAATAAATACAGTGACACTGACATTTATTTCAAACAGACAGTGTATAGTTAGATAGGAATTTGAGACAATATTAAATATATTTACTAAACACAAACTCAATGTGACTGTGAGTGTGTAACAGAGAGAGAAACATCATCATTTCAGTTTATCATTTTCATCATCGGTTCGTTCAGTAGAGACCCCCTACACACAAACAAGCACACAGACCCCCACCCTTATCACAACAAAGGGCTGCTCCACTTCCTGTCTTCCTGGCCCAGGGCTGTGTTTAGTGATGCATATATATCATTCTTAGCAGGGAACCCAGACTATAAAACACACACACACACACACACACACACACACACTCTCACTCTCACCGTACATCATTCCAGACATTTACCCTGCAGCAATCTGGGAAACGTATTAGACCCCACCTACCACCCACATCATATTAGAACACACACACATACACATACACATACACACACACACACACACACACACACACACACACACACACACACACACACACACACACACACACACACACACACACACACACACACACACACACACACACACACACACACATTCACACACACCCTGTTACAGAAGCAGCCCTTTTGCTGAACCGCTGCATTTTTGCCGCAAACCTGCAGGGTATTTTAGAAAAATCTGGAAATAGTCTCAGTGTCTGTAAATTGAAGGGCAATGCCTTAAATCTAGAGTATTTGTAATGTAACAGCGGGCAACTCCTTTGTCTGATTGTCAGATTGTATAGAAGTCTATGAGAAAATGACCCTACCTCTTACTTGATTTATTACCTAAATTAACATGATTCTAATGATTGTATAGTCTTAATCTCTAGATTCAAGTCCTCTTCAATACAGCATGATGTTCATTTAGTAAACTATGGTACTATTTATAGTAAAAAAAGACAATAAAACAGCTTGTATTTAAGGGCGTGGCTCCCTTGCATCAAGATGGTGACATCTCAAGTTGGCTTGACATAAAAACGTATACTTCTTATATTTTGGCGCCCAAAGTCAACATCTCTAACTCTCGATTGTTATCTTGTTTTTTCTATTTGTGTATATATAAATTAAAACGCTCCTGCATCAAATGATGGATTTTCTCATTAAAATCTCCACCAGAAAGCACATTAAACGAATACAGTACTGAAACTATTCCTGTTAATAGTAACAAACCAAGTTACTCTGAATAATATCACAAATTGTAAAACTATCAACCTTCAAAAATCACATTATAATCCTACTCTTGTGATTCACAGTAATCTGGTTACCTTGTGCATGTTGATGTTGTCATGGTGCCTTCACAAGCTATAGGAAATATTTTATTGGACTGCAATGGCAGCCTCTGTATCATCAGCCTCCATTTCATGATGAAGCAGGTTGCTCTGGTTTCTGCTGCTTCATTTCACATCACCAAGGTTAATTTATTCTCCTGCCTGCATGGTTTATCGATCAGCAGGATTATTTTCTGTGTGAGGCAGCAGTTTTGTGTTTGTCGTGTGATGGGTGTTTGTTTTTCGGGACCTTTTATTGAACGTGACATCTACATCCTCCTTCGATACAGCCCCAGCAGGCAGTGCTCTGATTCTCTGTCATGTGTGTCTGTGAGTAATTTGTGTCGGTGACTTCCTGTCTCCAGCAGGGATGGATCAGATCATCAACAAACAGCTCTCCAACTCTTCAGCTGCCCTCCATTCACCAGAGAGAGGTAAGAAAGAGCGTTACAAAACATGCAATAAAAACATATCCTAGTGATTATCTGATAGAATTGATCAAAAGGAGAATTACCACACACACACACATGAATATTTTGCTCAAGTGTGTCATCGTCACTCAATTGGAGTTTCTGATTTTCTGTATTTATCGTCATGGTCTGTATGCATTTGTGCGTTTTTGTGTTTTGCATGTGTGTTGGTTCGTGATGCATTAGTGTCTTTTGTGTCTCATCGACTAGCTTCCCCAAACAACCACAGACCGCACAGAAGTTCCTCCAACCGCAGGAGCATCGCTGGACTGCCTGAAGAGACCAAAGCCAAAACACCCACGGTCAGCCATCACACACACACACACACAAATAGAACTAGACACACACAGCATCATTAACAGTGAGCTGTTCAAGACTCAAAGGCCACATTAGCAAGTCTTATGACATTTTGTTTTGTTGTGGTCATGCTTGCATCTTGCAGATAAATACACACACACACACACACACACACACACACACACACACACACACACACACACACACACACACACAGATGCTTAATCAGTAGATTCAGGTTCCTACTATGTGTACATTAATGTCAATATCTGTAGAATTACTGTAAAGACATGTATGTGAGGGTGACTTGTTGGAAGGGTTGCTATTGTTTCTTCAAAATAAGATTACATTTCCCACTAACCTTGCTGGTTTTTGAAAGAAGATACTACTGATGTGGTCAAATGTTTTCTTGTATATATCTAGATAGATTCTGTCTGTTCTGTTGTATCGAATACAATCAATTGTTCAGCTTCCCTCATCAAGTTTTGTGTCGCATAAGCAATGCAGCAGAATTCTGTCCTGATTTGACCGAGTGGCTCTTAACGTGAAATGCAAAGTAAAGAGCTGAATCTCTGAATCAAGCCTCAGAAGTGCACCAAAGTCAGAATAATTTACATGCTATGGTTGCAGCTCAGTATTTTACAGAAGGATGTTTCAAGTGTCAAAAGCAGGTGAAAAGTTGATTTATAGAAACATCAACAGAAAACATTGTGACCATTGTTGCGTTATAAGATTACTTTTTGCAGATGTTATTATTTTTTAGATTTGAGGGACACTGGCACACAATTGAATACCTGTTTATAATCTAATTGTCATTTTGGTGACTTGCAGGGGGATAATTCAAACATTCCCAACCGCAGTTCTTCTTTCAGGGCCAACAGCAAGGGCCCCGCTACACCGAAACGGTAAGACACACACACACACACACACACACACACACACACACACACACACACACACACACACACACACACACACACACACACACCGATCACAGTCCAGGTGACCTAACGTGGTTGTGCTGGTTTTCAGGGTGAGGTCCAACAGGAGTCGCGCCCAGTCTCCCTGCTCCCCCGGCCAGTACCCCCCCTCCCCGCTCCGGCAGAGGGCCACCACCCCCGGCACCGATGACAGGGGTCACATTGAGGGGAAGGGTCACACCACCCTGGAGAGGAAATCGAACAAATCTGAAACTTCTGAGAAAAGGATCCCTAAATCCACCAGCAAAGAACTGAACGCAGGTAACGGAGCAGGGAGTGTGTTGGTGAATGTTTGGAAATGAGTTCACCCACCTGGAAGAAATTCAGCTGCATTTACTCAGACACCTTTTTATAGGGAATGAATAAATATCTCAAGACAGCATCAAGTCAATGTGCTGCTCACATAATAAAACCTTGACATTTGAATTAAGGTTTGCCCCGTTATCACCCAGCTCTCCAGGGAAAGAGGAAGCAACATTTAAGAAATTGGATTTCATAAAGTTAAATAATTGTTTCAAGGGACTTACATTACCAATATATGAACTCAAAAAGAGGTCAATTAGAAAAGAAAAGGGCTCAAATCAAAAATGATAAACTAAAGAAGACTCCTCCATTAAACTTAAACCTGATCTGACCTGACCTAAAAACAGTCAAAACATACAAATAAAAAAACAACATTATGAACCCTAGAGTATACAAATTGTTTTCATAAATTAAGAAAGTTACAAAGTTTCTATGATTCCATTAAAAATCAAACTGTTTTGAATTGAAAAATGTGTTCCTATAACAAAAGGAGAATTTGTGGACAGAATGAGACACAGAATAGTTGATTATAAATTGAATATGTTTGTCTTTTTTTGTTCTCTAGGTAAAAACTACTACTTAATAAATATTCGCTCTGGTTTAAACGTCTGTCCACTGATCAATCCCAAAACAAAGGCTCTGTGTTTTGTGGGGAGCTAGATAAATACACCACTGTATCCCTGCACAACCTGCCTATATTTAACACGTTAGGTCTGATTTGCATCTTTTCCTGACTCCTGGAAGATTTGTCCAGCCCTGTTTTTTTTATGTTAAGTCATGCTGCACCATCTTTGCCTCCACACAGAGTCTCCGAGCACGCCCACGGGGCGGAGCGTTGGAGGGACGACAGACGCTGAGGAGGCGTCCCGGCTGCTGGCAGAGAGACGCCGTCTGGCCCGGATACAGAAGGAGCAGGAGGAGAAGCAGCGGCAGGAGGATGAGAGGTGGGGGTGCATTACAGCTGACACACTTGGTTTCACAAATACATGAATCAATATATGTCTTTTTTTAAATAACAAAGTAATTCCTTTTCAAATGTTTCTTTCTTTGTGATGGGAAATGTAATATCTTTGAGTTTTGGGGTATAAATCATCTTTTGATAAAGAGAATGTGAAACTCTATAGATCGATCGAGAAAATAATTGTTAGATAATCAGTAATTAGCCTAATATGCATGTTTACATGTGTATTTAGGTATGAATGTGCACTTTGCATGTATCTTAATGGATCATATTAGTTGGGCTGAAGCTGAAAAATCAAAAAATCTAAAAATAACCTGTTTAAGTAACCAACTCTTTATTATTTTAAAAACAGATACATTTTTACATATTTGTTATATATTAACATAATAAATAAATCAAAACGATTAACATATTACAAATTCCTTTTATGATTCTTGAATTTTGTGTAATTTACACAATAAAATCATTTGTGGTCTCGCTATCTGTTATAGACAGGGACCAACATAGTCTCTCATCATTTACTATTTTGCAATCAATTATTTCCGAAATAAAATCCCAGGTCTATTTCTAAGAGGTACACGTAAAAAAGTAGACCCCACGACGCAAAATGAAGTGTGTTAAAGCATAGCTACGTCGGGAAACTACGCTGACACAGAATGAAAAGGTATGTAGTCATTTGAATTGCTTTGTTCCTGCAGACTGAGGGCGGAGGAGGAGCAGAGGAGGCAGCAGGAGGAGAGAGAGAGGCAGGAGCGAGCTGCAGTGCAGGCGGAGGAGGACAGAGTGAAGCGGGAGGAGGAGAAGAGGAACAGGGAGGATGAGGAGAGACGGCAGAAGGAGCAGAGATGGAAGGACATGCAGGATCAGCTGGACAAAGAGGTCAGGGCACAATTTATTTGTTTGTGTAAATGTTATGTTCTTTTAAAAGCACCATTACTCCGTTGTGGTTTGGTGAGTGTATATTGTACTCGTACAAATAAATCGACCCGGAAACAACTAATTGAGTTTGAAACCACTCACACTGATACACCCCTGTACTGTACATTGACAACATACATAAGGGATGCCAGATTATTTTTTGTAATTAAAAAATAATGCAACATAATACAACAATGACATACAAATAAAGAACACATTGTAATTAACCTTAGTCAGAAAAAAAACTATATTCATAATAAATGAATTTGTTCATTTTCATTTAGTTTTTTAACTGTTGTGTTTTATTTTTATATACTTTTAATTGACATGTTTATATATATATATATCGACTCTTGGTAATTATTATTCCTTGTGATGAATAGAGATACAAAATTAAGGACATATCCATTGTTTATTTTGTACCATTCTTTGCATTAATGTGGTATGTGCAACTGTAACTCAGCTTTACTCTTAACTGTGAAGTACAGACAGCAAATGTGAATTATGGGATGTTTTTCAGAGGGAGGAGGCCTGCCTGCGAGCACAGAAGGAGGCAGAGAGGAAGAGGCAGGAGAGAGAGCTGCTGCACCTGCAGGAGGAGCAGGAGAGGCTGCAGAGGAAGAAGGTAGCACACATCTACACATACGATCAGTTTCATTGCAAGTAACAAGTAAAAAAACGTTAAAATAATACAAAATAAAATGTTCCATCACAGAGAATTGAGGAGATCATGAAGAGGACGAGGAAGAGTGAAGTGGAGCCTCTGTCTGGTGCTGCAGGTGAAAGAAACACAAATTACCCTCCTTTAATAATGTTACAAAACTTTAGCTGTTCCTCCAGCTTAATTAGTTTCTGTATAATTAGATAAGGTGAGTCGCTGCAGTGTGACTCAGCAGTGTTATACAGGCAGGAGAGCAGCGCCACCTGCTGGTTAAAACACCAACACAACACCAAGTATACCGCAGCATTTACTGACTTCTCTGAACTCAAAGTGTCTTTTCATTGCTGTGATATCAGCACACTAAGTTACACTTTATTGTTACTGCACATAATCTTAAAGTGTACATAATGGACAGCTTTTTATTTCCACCGAATTAGTCATTATCAACCATCTGGTTTTCTGTCAGTATTGTTTTTTTAGTGATGCTGAGCATTTTGAAAGCAACTGACCATTATATTGTGTGATGGCAGTGACTGACCTGAGGCCCGAGGCTGGGGTCCCCTCAGAGGAGGACGCCCCAACTCCAGCTGAGGCCCCCCTTATCATGCTGGGACCCCTGGAGAACAAGAGCTTTGTGGATGAGCTGTCTGATGGAGTCCAGTCCATGGACGTCAGGTGAGTCTTCCACCTGTCTCTGTGTCTGTGTTTTCTCAAAACTTCATGCTCAATTAAATTGTTCACAATTTCAGTAACCGTTCTAGCATCTTAAAACAGCGCTTTGAGTCGCTATATATTCACCAGGTCTGTCTCACCCATTCTTGCATCTCATTGTCGACCCATAAACTCGTCCAAACAGACAAAAGTTTCTGTTGGACGTTTGAGGTGAAGGTAGAAAAATTGCACAAGATGCATTAACACGGCAACTGCTAACTGATCTCATGTTGTCAACGAAACCTCAAAATGTCTACTGACTTTTAAAAGCTCAAATAATTATAGACTATCCTGTCTCTGTCACCATCGTGTCTTGAAGTTCTCCATCTGTCTCCATCAGTCCGGTGTCTAGGGACGAGCAGCCGAGCGTTCATGAGTTCTCCCCGCTCACAGAGGGGGGGGGACCTGATGATGGACCTGGAGGCTCACGGCCGAGCCCAGCGGCAGGGAGCGGAGACAGCCCCCTACCCTAAACTGCAGCCGGGCAGCGGGGTGGGGGACCTGAACAAGAACCTGCTGATCCAGGCGTACAGCGCCTCCTCCGAGTCCTCGCAGCTCATCCACAGCCTCGGCCCCAGCAAGCTGGACGTCCAGTAGCCAGGTACAGACCCCCCTTCAAAATCAGATACACAACCTCAACACTCTTTTTACATTCAGGTTAGTATCACACCTGTAACACTTGTTATATTATGCTAAAATCACAAAAACACTGCAAGGCACTGTCTTTTTTTCAACAATTCAAATGTAACAGGACTATCCCATTACAGTAAAGACATTTTAAATGTTATTTTTGTGTCATGTACCACTATTCAAAATACACAAACAAACTGCCATGTAGGTTATTTTATTTTTTTAACATAAAAATCTGTCTTACAATGAGAGGGCCTCTCACGAAGGTAACATTATTGGAATTGTAGAAATCAGAAATGTTTAAAATATTTTTTTTTATATTACAAATTATACTAATAATAAGTAGAATAGAATGTTCATTATTCTCTCTTTTTATTTTTGTTTTTCTCATTAAACTTTATCTACCTTGCCATTATTGATAATTCTCACTTCTCTTTCTTAATATGTCCCGCCTCAGGACCTTCTCAGGAGCTGGCATGTTGGACAGAAACAGGAGGAACAGACCAAAAGAGCGTCGCTTCTGTCTGCAACATCACCAACAATCAACATTTCAACAATGAACAAATGCTGACACAACTAATTTCACATCTGTATTACCAAACAATGCATAACAGTGGAGCTTCTGGCAAAACATTTGAGGCAGTGCAAATGGGCAATTCTGACTCTTAAAAACACAACACAGTTTGACGAAATCATGCAAATAAAGTGAAATATATCAAGAAATGAATACGATTATGTAACAGAGAAGGAAGTGGGATCAGCATTCTTGCATGTCAAATAAAAAAGGTTGAGTTTAGGAAAGTAAAAAGACTGTTAACTAAGGAAACTCGCTACACACTCTGTTATAAAACCTACTGTAAAGGCATGAGTCTGGGAATGTTTTAGTTCAAAGTCAGCTCTAATCTGCAGACCTCAATTAACCTTTAGTTTACAGATTACATCTCCTGAAATTCCCAGACATTCCACATCATCTTGCCATCATTTCATCTGTTGAAGCCAGTATTGCCCAGCTGCACTGCCACAAAATAACACTCGAGTATCACCTGCTTTAATATCTCATCCTTGCTTTTGTAAAACTGTAAATAGACCCAGCTGGGTGGACGAGCGGCTCTATAGCAGCAGTTTATCTGGAGGGGAAGCTGTAAAAAATCCTGTGAATTCTGTGTAGCATCTTCAGTGAGGACTAGCTAGTTGAGCTGTTAATGGTTGTAGCCGTGTTGAACAGTGTGTGGGAATTTATGTCCGATGGTTTCTGTGTGTGTTTATCTCACCTCTGCTCACAGCGACTTCTATAAAATCCTAGTCTGCTGTAGATTTCCTGTCACCCCGACACAGGATAAAAAACATTATAACCCCCGCTGTTGACCCTTAATCACACTTAGCCTGTCGCTTTGGTTTCTCTGCTGCTCGTGGACATTTTGTGGACAATCCACAGCAAAAACATGAAGAAGCGAAAAAAAAAAATTAAAAAGTCCTGTATTTTTATCTGCAGGTCGGGAAAACGTTGACACAGTGTGTTGTGTATTTGTCTGGCACTGACTGTAACCACGCTAGCTGCAGTTAATAGTGTGCACTTACAGTAGTTGTGTGTTCCACTGCTCTGAAGACGCTTGTATCTGCACCTCAGCTCACCTCCCCACCCCCGAAACTTAAATATACCTCACCAATTCAGAAGCCTAGTGTCTCATCACCTCTGAGGCCTTACACCTCTGTGAAGTAAAACCAACCCGCCCTCTGCGCTCTGCCTTCAGGCTGTGTTTCATTCAGCATGTGCATTTTTGCCATTTTTTACTTAAACATCTTGAAAGAAGAGAAACAAGAACTACACATTTCCCTTGAGGTTGTGTATGAGTTTCAGCTGCACCTTATAACACAGATCTGCAGGGCAAAGCATGCAACTTTCCAGGGGCCACAGAGTCTCAAGGGCCACATAAGGTTTCATGTGTACATGATCAGGTCTACAGTCATGATTGATTGTAGAAAGACTGAGGTAATCATTTCAAACTCCCCTCTGTAGAACTTTAAAAAATGGCCAACAAAACTCTGTGCAATTGTTTGTGTATTTAAAGAAAATCACATTGTATTTATTTTTCTGTACATTTGTTCTCACTACATTATTTCCAGATGCCAGGTATGCCATTCTGGTGAAGAACACAAAATTCCCTTGGTTGTTTTTTAAAAGGCACCAATCAAATTGTACAATTTCTGCATATTAAGGAAAAATAACGTTCAATTTTATCTATTCAAATATTTTGTTTTTCTTCCTCCATTATGGACTGACTTAATTTTTATATTTTGTTGAACAATACTTCAACATGCCACCAACCAAACTCTGTTCAATTATTGAAGTATTTAGGCAAAATCACATTCTTTTTCTAATTTTGTAAACTTTTCATGCCGTTATAAATCTACGTCACTTCCAGACATATTAGAGAACATCACTTTTTTTATTTACATTTATAATGTGACCCATTTATGCATATTTTTTGATAGATCTGTTACATTGAAGGGAAAGAGTAAGCTGATGTTTAGCTGAGTCTCTTTTTTGCCTCTGTAGGTTAATTCAACCATGGCTAAAAATAATGATTACTGTCACAGGAACTTTTTGTTGGGTAGCAAAAGTAAAATAGAGAACACTTTTGATCCAGGTGCAAAGAATGTTGTTAAAAATACCTTTTGTTGCAGAAAAACGTCTTTACTGCTCATATAAGGTGCCACATTGAGGGGACAAATTGTAAAGCTGTCACTGCTGCAACCTTCAGCACTTTGTTTTATGTTTTCACTCTTCTGCAGGCTTCCCTCTCTCCACTTTAACTCTTTATTCCTCCAGATTCTGCTGAAGCTCATTGTAAGAGGGTCTCCGGGGTCCCTGTGTATATGAAGTAAAGGACATAATGTTTATCCTAATATTACTTAACTCTGTGACACTGCAGCTTGGTGGAATATATCATTGTAGATGTGGTGCATGGAAAACTGCTGAAATGAACAATAAACTTCATCAAGCCTATTGTGTCATTAAGTTGGTATGAATAAACAAACAAACGTGTTGTAATGCAAACAGACACTTTTATTGAGAAATTAAACAAAATAGTATACATTCATATCAAGTGACATAAGAGATGATAAATGTAGTCTATTATAATTTGCACATTTTGCCGCACTGAAATTAAAATCTTATCTCTTTATTTTAATAGTTTCTGTACAGGAGTATAGCTCTGATATCAGATAAAGTATTACTTTTTCATTATCAAAAACAACTAAACTTCCGGTTTGGCCTTGCAGATTTCAAAATAAAACACGTTTGTCAACATTAAGTCTAACCAACCATATAAATGTTGCAAATATTTAACTGAAGGTAATTTGACTGTGTGTAAACCTTTAGATCTATAGAAAAGTTTAATTTAGAGGAGTTACGCAGTTTTTTATGTTAGAATTAAAGGTCAATATAAATATGACCTGAGGTACATTTACAGTTACTATTTTAGAAATGAAAATAATTGTTTTGGTAAGTCAGCATTACAACTTTAAAAGTCTGACGTGTTATTTTCTTGATATAAAATAACCACATCATAGATTTATACGTTCATGTTATGTGTTCATCTGTAGATTTAACAACACATATTTTTATTCTGAAAAGACCGTGGCGGAAGTGTCGTATCGGGTAGTTACCATGCATAGGTAGTTACACCCAGAGCCACAACGTTTACCGCAGTGAAGAGAAGTGAACAGCCATTTTCCTGAAGACTTTAATTAAAAACACAACACATTTAGCCAGCTTTTGTTTATATCTGATGATAAATAGGGTTTAATCTAAAATTACAAATTATTTTATTTCAGGGTTTTGCGTGTTTGTCATCGCTTTAGATAACGTAGCCGCGTGAGCCCATCGCGTGTCGCCGACCAAGGTAAGAGAGCTAGGTTAGCTGCTAACTGCTCATTAGCTTTAGCATCAGCCAGCTAAAAGTAAGCTTAATTTATTTCATATTTTCATGTTTTGGAAGGTTAAGGGAATAATATAAACACATCTACTAGGGGTTATCTCATGCTCACCAATGTACCCCAACAAGAGTGTTTGACGTCAACTAAAGTTAGCTTGTTTGCAACTGTCAAATTAAGTGTAACAGTTTTTTTTATCGAAAGGATTAATGTTAATGTTTAACATGTCATTTAATTATCTCAAGGCTTTTATTGTCATTCGTACATAGCTACAGTCTAGTTATGTCGTTGAAAATCTTAGGTCACAGGCTCCTCCAACAGTGCAACACAATAAAACAGATAAAATAGTGCAAGTAAATACAAATTAATCTTGTTGTATTATTACGTTGGCTTAATAATAATGTTAAGTTGTTTGTACAGCTATTAAATATAATACATATGTTCCTAACAGTTTTTATCTTTGTTTCAGGAGATCATTTACAGTAACTGCAATCTATGCTGTTGAGTTTCAAGCTTTGAGGAGTGTTTGGATTCACTTAGTAAACAGACGTCTTCTATTATTGAAATCCTTTTAGGGTGACATTGGCTTCTAAATTAAAGGTGACCCTTGATAGACCTTTCTCCCTGTTGCTGGAAACTAGACAGTCTAGATCATTTTCAGTCAGATGAAATGCAAACAATTCTCCTTGACAATACCATTAGTTCAGGTAGTTCAGTAATAACTGCTTCTACAGTAGTGCTGTGTTTGTCTGCAACCTCTATTTTGTAACTAAAAACGTATTTCCCTAAAGGTTGACAAAATGTCACGTCCACGGTCCAGATCACCGCATTACAGGTAAATGCGTTAGATTTTATTTAATTTACTCTTAAAACTCAGAAATGAATATCTGCATGTTTGTTGTTGTAAGGAATCCCAATATTAATGGTTTATTTATTGTTTGCTGTATTACAAGTGGTGACACAGGTTCTCTTTTTACATTTTCTTTTTCAGGAGGTTCCCATGGGATGAACCCGACTTTGATCATCACAAAGTTGTTGCAGACCTGGACACTAATCCGTCAGATAGGAGCCCCTTCCCTGAGGAACACTGGGGTTACTTTAGGGAGGACATGCACCCTGAAGCCCAGCGAAGATCCCCCCCTTTCCAAGATGACCGTCAGTTTGGGCATCAACGTCATCCAACCAAGGAGGACTTTCACCACAGAAGACTACTATCGTCGCATCGTGATGCTGTTGGCTTTGAAGATGACCGGAGGCTTTCCCCGCTGCAAGATGGAGCAGGAGATAGACACAGAGGAGGCTTCAAAGAAATATTCCAGAGTTTTGAAAACAGGCAGAGGTTGCCACAGTCGCCTCCAAGGTTCGAGAGGGAAACACTGCCGCTGACGCCAAGGCCTCACTTAGACCACAAACAAAGAGAGCCAGTAGGAGGCTGGAGGAGAGAGGAGCAGGGCAGAGGTCAAGGGGGGTTCAGGGACCTCAGTCCCAGTGTGAGATCGGATGACCAGAGAGGAGGACCAGGTAGGGAGAGAGAAAAGAGGAACACACAGGGTCCTTTTAGAGACAGACGGAGAGAGGATTCACAGCAGGAGAGGAACCCCTCCTTTAAAAAGCAAAGAAGAGAAATGGATGACGCCACTCACCTTGGGTAAATTTAAAGCAAAATGCTTTGCAGCACTGTCTCAAGGAAACGAAGAATGCAGAAGATTCTCATCTTTCAAATTTTCCATAGGGCAAAATTCCTTACTGTTTGTCATCACACCCTATTTTGGCATGACATAAATTACTTGTATTCTGCATGGCCTAAAACTTTCTTGCATTGCAACTCTTTCTGATTCCTTAAAAATCTGCATGTATTTTACTGAACCAACAGTTTTTAATGAAAAGGCAGCATTGTTGGCAAAATCTGTTTAAAGATCTCTTGTTATAGGTTTAACAGATATTTGATATAGACTGTGAGATAAATCCAAGGCTAATTAAAGTGTACATTCAAGTTGAATTTTAAGCATGAATAATTGTTGAACCATGTCACCTCCTCTTATGCTGTCACACAGGAATGAGGAGGACTTTGGGCAACAGCGTTACTCGGTGAACTCTCCCAGAGATAGGTTTGGAGGAGACGCTCAGGTGGGCCTCCCCCGTAGAGACATTCGGCACTCGGGAGCACTCGTCATTGAACATGATCACGGCATCGCAAACAGCAGACAACCGATGGCAAAATGTAGCAGTCGTGGAGACCCTGACTTTGGTCGACCTAGGAGTCCCCGTCCCATGAGCTCCTCCCAGGAGCGTTTTAGGGCGCCGGACAGCAGGGTGGATGATGGTGAAAACACAAGGGGACGCCATTTTCAAGATAACTGGAAAGAATCCAACTGTAATGAAACGAGGAGGATCCCCACGCCCCAAGATATACCAAACCCCGTGAAATATGGTAATCGAGGTCATGTGAACCACAGGGGGAGGGGCGGTCCTCGCCAAGCAAAAGGGCAATTTAATCGCGGTCAAGGAGGACGGACCCCACTTCCAAGGAATCAACCTCGCGTACAGCAGTCCTCCCAGGGATACCAAGATCTTGAAGAGCAAAGACCAGCTTTCCGACCCTTAAGGGATGATTCCTACGAGGATCCCATTGAAGAGGAGCATGAGTGGGCAGAAGAAGACAGAATTCAGCAGTGGGAACCTCAGAGGCCTGTAAGCGTGGACCATCGCCTAGAGAGGAATTACTTGGACCCGAAAATGCCCCGTCAGAGGGAACGAGGATTGAACGAACAGAAAACCAACAACCATACGAGCGTCGCAACGGAGGAATCGCTAACCATCAAAGTGGACATGAGCCAACCCGCAAAAACAAACAGGTAGAGTAATTTTTTTATAAATCATCCAGGGTGAGAGGGGAAAGTTCACACTTCTCTTTCTAAGATCATTGAAAGCTGCTTAAGAAGGAAGGAAAACCATAGGAAAAGTGAAGGCTTGTTGAAAATCTCAGAAAGACTACATTTTAACTGGATTGTGTTGCAGTTTGTACCTCTGCTTATACCCCCCATTGGTACTGTAAAGCACGTTTGCCAGAAGCATCTACCAGATTTGCTGTTGAATCAAACTACCAGGATGCTTTGCAGAAGTTTAATCTGAAGGGGAAGTCCCCCTCAAAGAAAATCAGGAAGAGACACACCGCGTGTTTGCTGTAGAAGCCCAGGAAACCCGCACCCCTCCGAAAAGAAATCAAACCCAAGATTAAGAACTGAAGAGAGGGAGTGTTATTGGGAAAGTGGCCACAAAAGCTGCAATTCACTCCTTTTTATATTCTACACAAATAGGAACACTCACCAGCTTGCTGTTGTGCTAATGCCATGATAAGATTGGGAGGATTTGGCCTAATGCAAGATGCAGGAGAGCAAAACACCTCCAAAAAACTGAAGAAAACTCTGTCAAGGCATATCGTTTTTTTTTTTAAAAGGAAACACTGCATTACCTTACTGATTTGTGGCAGAGAAGCATCATAATGACAACATTTATCTGAAATGTACTATATTTTTGACTTTTATTCAAAGTCTCATCAAGTTTGCACTCAGATGCAGAAGACAACAATAGAGAGACTGCACACCACCAGGCAGACCACAAAAGGAGCAAGCGTTGTGAGTCAATAGGCTGCAGAAGTGGATCGCATCACAATCACATTTCCTTTATTATTCTCGCAGTGGGAAATGTACAATGTGGACTTTGAAACCAGAACCATTACGAAGAGTATATTGAAAACACATGACCCATGAGAAAGGAAAAACCCTGCAAACATGACATGTGCTTTGGTATGTCATTACATTTTTTCTATCCTTTTTTTTGGACTGAAATGGACGGACATCATTCGTTGATGTGACAATCTATTTGATGCACATTTTCAGGTTAAACCAAATCCTCAGAGGCCACACACCTCTGGATGAGCTGATTTCAACATTATCTGTTAGGAATTCTTGGCCTCATTTGAAGAAACTTCTGTTACGATGTGAAGCTAGATTTGGAAACCCGACACCACTGAAACTGAAGGAGGAAATATCTGTTTCCTGAAGAAATGTCGCTCAAAGGAAGGAAGTCAAAGAAAGGCAATATACTACGTTGTGATGTATCGCAATTTCAACTGAGCACACATAAGAAAGGAATCAGCTGTTAAAGGAAGATCTGATAGCTCTGCCATTGAGAAAGAAAACATCTGGTATATTTTAACGGGATAAACAAGATGTCTGACAGGATGAGGGCTTTTTCCAGCTTGACCAAAGCTGTTGGTCCACATGCCACATCAGATTTATTGAAATGGAAAAAACCTGCATACGTTGATCAGTGGGAGGAAAGAGGGGAACAAGAGCATGGTCAAAATAGGTTTCTACACTATCTGGATGAGCAGTGAGAAGAAGATCTGCATTGGCCAGATACTGAAACACTTTTGCAGCTTGGCAAATATATTTCAGGAAGAGGATTGAAAGCATGTCCAGTATTCAAATGCTGAGACTCATCCAAGTTAAGGCAAACATTTCTAACTCTGGAATATTGTTTTTGTCCAGCTTGGTAGGAGACTGATGGATGAACATATATATATACCTCACCTACAGCTGATATCGGAAAATATGAGCTGTGAATCTCAGTTATCACAAAAGCAGCAAAATAGGACACCTGGCAGAATTCATACACGTTGTTGAAAGAAATTAGTAAATCATTACGTCATCACTTTCAATGAGATGCTGTGTCAAAGAAAATATGAAGACAAGAACATAAACATTCTCAGCAGAGAAATGAAAGCCCTGCACACGATCATCATCATCATCAGATGGATTGCAGACTCCTAATCAAAGCCTTGAGGATAAATATCAATGCTTTTAGAAGGGGAAATTGAAGCCTGAACAAAAGCAACTGGAGCAACATTGGGTTCACATAAAAGTGCAAACCTTGAAAATACATATTGGTGTTGCTAAAGGAGACATGTGCAGCATTCAACTCAAAGCTATTAACATCTACATATCTGGATAATTGAGGAAGTCATCCATGCTTTGAAGCCGTACATGCACATATTGTCATCCTGAAAAGAAGAAAATTCAAGCCTGAAAATAAACATCTCTGCTTATGAAAGAAGAAAGTTCAAATTGCTGGTAAACTACAAATATAATCCACAAATATAATCCATGGCAATCAATGGAAAAAAAGAAGTTTCATCAGCGCTTTTAAGAGAAAAGAGAAGAACAGTATCCTAAATTCTGCAAGAATGTAAATCCATGCCAAGTGGATCCAAAAGCTGAAGGAGGATCATCCCGGAGGAACTGGGAGGCAAGTTTGAACAGATTATTGATCAAGACACGATATTTGATGAAGCCAAGTTCCCCATAGCGGAGTCACAAAACATTACTACAGTCGTCAACATATCAGAAGAACCAAAACAGCTGACGGGATATTGAACATTTAATGGATGAATCAAGAAAAGAAGTGTGAACTTTCTCCCGACATTTTAAACTCCCCTGTCTCTATAAAGAGAGATATCTTAATTTCCTTCTGAAAAAAAAACTCCATAAAATATAATGAATTTGTACGATTCTCTGTACTTTCAAGGGTGAACATCGACCTTTTGTTATGCTACATGTAGGGTGTAGTTATTGTACACATTAGTTATCAATTGTGGGACTCAGGGAAGGTAAGTTTGCTGGGTAAGGTAAACTTTGCTTTTATTTAAATGTAATATTATTTACCTACATGTGATTTCGAAAGAAACATTATTTTTCAAAAGAAATAAGCATTTTGTCTAAAATGTTAATAAAAAGTACATTAACATTTGGTCTTTCAGGACACAACACCTTTTTATTTTACTGGCTACTTGTCACCTTGATAGTAGTCAAGGTCATTTCCAATGTGTTATACACAGTTATACATTTGGTTAGGTTTCATTCTTCCTCTCCTCCTGCAGCTTGCTGTTTTACTCCTCCGACCGGCAGCTCTCGTTAGATCTCGTTAACGTCGGCCGGCAGCGTCTGGACTTCCTGCCGATGCTCGAGCACTCGGGCACGTACCGGGAGAGTGCCACGCACAACGGGACCTTCGCCCAGGAAATCATCACACTGGTGCACCAGGTCAAAGGTCAGCACTGCATACACATCTATCTGTTATGGCTTTGGTTTAATACTATAGCAGTAAAACATACAGGAGGACAGAAATTGTTTATTTTGTTAGCATAATGTTTTGTAAAAAAAAAAGACATAATATAAAAAATAAGGTGTAGTAAAGGTGATTAAGTCAAACCGGATGTAAGTGAATATGGAATTATGATTTACGTGAGCACAATATTTTATTTTTCAAGAGGAATGAACTTCACATATTACACCATGCATATAGTAATTCACAGTAACAAGATGTAAGTGGACAGATATTTGTGTGTGTTGTATTGACGCTTGTGCTGAAATATCTCTCAAATAAAGTGCTAGAATTGAATATACAATTACAGCAAACGGACACAAAAACAGAGTTAAATTTGATTCAAGACATCTTACAAAAATTATATCATGAAACAAAATAAATACCCGACATATTTAGGTATGATAAAACTCTTTCTTATCTGCTTTTACAGAGCAGTATTTCAGATCTGATGGGGCCAGCCTGAATGAAAGATTCTCAACGCCTCAGAAAGGGGTCTTCTCTGATAAGGAGGAGACCGAGGAGCTGACGCTGGACGAGAGGTTCAGCGAAAACCGGTTCGTAAAATGTTCACAGACGTGCATACTGCTTCTCGTAAACTTGTTGTACAGATGTAAAGAAATCACTAATTACATTTGTATAATTCATACAGAACTCTTTATATTCATTATTTGCTATATTGTTGTCGTGGTTTTAAAATATTGAAATCCCTTCCTTGTAAAATTGTATTTAAGCTCCATGTGCTCCACATATCTTACTGTCACTTTATTCCTGTCTTTTATACTTGTTTTATTCTATATATCTTGATTTGTTTGTATTCTCTCGGGTCTGAAATGACTGCTTTGTCTCTTGCAGAGGCTTCAGCTTAAATATGAACTCGCTGCTTGACGAAGAAGAGACTCTGTTCTCCAGACTGGGACCCTTACCGGTAAATAAACATCTTTTAACTTGGTATCCTAAAACCACTAGACCTTCTCATAAGGCTCTGCGATACATTCATATTATATCTATCTCAGGTTTTAATAAAGGATGTCCTTTTCTTGCACCTTCCTCACAACAGTAAAGTCATGTTATTTTCTAATGTTCCTTACGCGTTTTATGAAAGCAACACTAGTCAACCCGACAGTATCATAGCAGTATTGATCTTGAGGTATCGTGTAAAAGATATTGCAACATTTTATAAAATCCATATTGCCCAGCCCTTATTCCTTATTGGTTTCTTGGATACATTTCTACTTGAAAACATGTTTTTTGATTGATGTTACAGCCGGTGCGTGGCCCGGGGGACCTGAGGCACGACCTGGAGCGGAGGAGGCAGGAGAGACTGGAGGGAGTCAAAGTCACGATATCAGGGAGCAATATGTCACAGCGCCCCCTCGGGCCCATCAGGTGACATTACACTCCTTCTTCCTGCTGTCATTACTTTTCTAGTCACCCTAAAATCTCTTTAATGCTGTGAGGTGCAGTTGTTTAGACCTTAAAAAGAGCACTATGTATTAAGCCAGTAATCATACAAAACCATAATTGTACTGCCATGTGGTAAATGCTTATATGCTGCTCATGCTCTTTCTGCATATCATGTATTTATTTTGCTATGTATATAAATGTCATGTTCTTAAATGTGAGGGACTACGGATGGAAACTAGCTCAAAGCTAAAATCCGGCATGTTTACGTTTTTAAAGCATTATTTGTTTTAAATGTTCATCAATGTGCATTGTCCCTCTTCAAATAAAAAAAAATAAAAAACTTAAGTTGCATAGAAGTTACCAAACTTACTTTTTTTTTTTTTTTTTTTAAATAACTTTATTTTAATTGAATGTGCTTGATTAAGTTTCCATTTAATAAGGGGAGCAAAGAAATAGAATATTTACACAAATATCTTATTAGGTACTTTTACTTTACCCGAGTATTTCTATTTTCTTCTTATACTCCATCTCAGAGAGTAATATTGTGTAAATATAAAATAAGAAAATCTACAAACTTACATCTTGTGGACATTGTGTTCATGTTTCTCTCAGCGAGCCGAGTTTAGAGTACGAAGACAAAATGTCTCCGATGGAGGAGGAAGGCTTCTCCAACTGGCCGGAGGAGCAGAGCAGGAGGCGAGAAGGAAACATGGTGAGGGTTAAAGAGCTAGAGTTTGACCTCTGACCTTTCTACAATGTAATGGAGACTGCATGTGATATTTTAGAGTGAATCTTAAACCTTTCTTTCCTTCTTTAGGGACCAAGGAGAGGCGCTCCCTTCGCCTCCCAGCGCAGAAACACTCGCCCCGTTAACCGGCTCGGACCAATGAGACGACCAAACAACTGAAACCCCCCCGCAGGTACTGAACACACCTGAAAAACGAATACAGCTTCAGTTGGGGTCACTTAACGCAGATAGAATTCATATTCCTGTAATATCAGACTTACAGCTTTGTAGTAGCTCTTTGGTTTCCTTTACAGATCCATCAGCAATAGAAACATATTATTAAGGATCTTTTCCCATGTTTGCAAGATCTCTCATAAAAAATATATATTACTCAAACTGATGGTTTTTAATCCAGTGTGCTTCTCATCATCAATTTGGGTAACATATCATTTTGTTTGGTTGTATCTTTGCAATATAATGTTGCCAGCAGTCGATATTAAACTATTTAAAATAAATAATAACATCAATATTTTACCGTAACCCTTTTAAAGCGCATGTTTTCCAGCCAGCATTAAATTGAGTATACATTTGAATTATTGCCTAGCTTAAGTCGTACCATTTCTATTAACATTTGTATTTAAATCTACTAATTAGAAATCTGTCAGAAGTCATGTTTTATTTATGTAACCTCAAACCAAACTCTCGACCCTTAGAAACGTAACTGTTTTATGGAGTGTTTGGCTGCCGAGGTCATCACCCTCCTCACCTCCTCACCTCCTCACCTCCTCACCTCCTCACCTCCTCTCTTTCCATTCGGTCTGAATCTCCCTCATATTGTTTCTACCTGACCTCAACTCTCTCTCTCTCTGTATTCACCTCTCTTAGGTCCTAACTGGTGATCGGAAACTGGACATGTATCCTGTTACGGATGACTTTTAAACCTTACCTTCAAAAAAAGCCAATCAAATGTATATTGTTTCCATTTCAGGACGAAGAAATGGTGCCGGTTTTTCCCTTGCATCAAATTGTGAAGAAGTCTCAGTGAAGAACAAGCTATTTGATTAAGATGAATGTTGAAACCTACATTCACACCTTTCCATCTTTGTTTAAATGTGTCTTTGTGTTTTTGATCGATACACTTCGTCTTTATCGAGTCTTGATTTTAAAGCAATGCTTTTTTTTTAACTCAAATGGTCGCTGTTTATCAGAACTCTTTTCATTTTCGAACATCTACAGGTTTATTGTTGGAGATGAATACATTTAGTTCATGGCGCTCGTGTGAATCAACGGTACTTAAAAAAAACGCTCTTTGTTCACTAAGTCGTTATTTCTGTCTTTGTCTCAGATTTATCACGTCTGTACCGTTTAGTTTAACGTCACACAGTTATTGCTGAATAAATACAATATTTCTCATTTTGCTTTTGTGTCATTTGTTGTTGCCAAGTCAACTGTTCTTATTGGGTAACTAGTGAAGCTCACGACCAAGCCACTTTAAAAAAAAGAATAGCTATCAAATGTTTTGAAAGACCTTTTTCACAGAAGACATTTTGACTAGTTTCACTAACGACCATTTTTTTTTCAACCTCTTTCTTCATTGTCAAATTGTGTTCTGTGAAAAGATCAGATACATGTACTGCACATATTCTATCATGAGGTTTTGTTCTAGTTTCTCAATTTGAAGTTATTCACAGCGACTTTGCTGTAAATATTCTGTGTCCACTTTCACACAAGTAACGTGTTTTCGCCTGATTTTAAATGATACAAACCTTTATTCAGTATGAGTAATAGAAAGCTGTATACAATCAAGATATAAAAAAAACAATAAGTTTGCGTTTAATGTTTTTTGTCATTATTATTTATTTCAAACCACGGTGAAAAGACATAATAAAAAAGACAACAGTTAAGGTTTACAACACTTTTTCACGAGTTATTTGTCTTTGTATAGGCTGAAACATTTACTGACACTTGAGTCACAATTTTAACAGCTTAAAGTCGCCCATATTCACAACACGTCTTAGCTACCTTTTAGATAATAAACCTCACAGTTTACAACTTCACACATTAATACAAAACTACATTTAGCTGTGGACAAACATAGCAGCGTCACTGTTAAAGCAGCAGCACATTTTTTGCATTGATTGATTCTTTTAAGTTGAGAACTTTGGTTAGAAGGCACACAGAAAAAAAAACTGCATTGATGTGTCTTGGTAGCTGCACTGAAACTGAGCAAAAGTGGAGAATACATATTTTTTATAAATCATTTTTGTGAGACAAATTCCTACAGCAATTCCTATTGTGTAATTTTCACGTAAACAAATACAGTTGTTGACATAGGTTAACCTTAAAGCTCCAAATACAATATCACCAGTTTAACAGTTTATTCATTCCACACAAAAAGGAGTATTTTCTTAACCAGTAAAGGAAAAATAAGTGTTTCTGATAATCAAAAAAACGAGTGTGTTTCCTAACCTCTGAGATTAATACTTGTATCAGCTTTCCAAAAACCCCTCAGCAGCGACAGCAGAGACAGGCAGGCTTCATGAGTGTTCCTCGGCTCCTCATTATCCAGTAAGAAGGCGGCAGCTCCTCCTGTGGGACCCCTGGAGGTCCTCCTGGGGCCCGGAGACCCTGTAGCACCAGGAGGACGTCTGGTGGGTGAGTTAAATGTGTTTCCATAGAAGAAGAAGAAAAAGTGTGTGTGGTTGGGGGAGTCAGAGGCCTGAGCCGCAGGGTAACGGTCGGAACGCCACCTCCATGTTCTCCTCCAGGATGATGTCGAAACGGCACATTAGAGGCCTGACAGAGAAAGACAACATTTAGATATTTATTTTATTATATAGAAAACACTGGCATTTAAAGGGGTACACTTCTGAAATCTTGAAGTAGCCCCTTCCAATAAATGAAAAATATTCTTATAAATAATACCATTTAGTTTTGCTCGTTTCAAAAAGGTATTTATTTTTTATCCATTTGACTTTATTTTGGAAATGCACAAAAAATCGTCCTCTTTTTTACATGTTGGTATGCCTGTCACTAACACTCGAATTACGATCTTATTGTGGTCGTACGACTTGATAAACTAAATAAAACTAAAACAATTTTTTTCGTTATATCTTGTGTGACTCAAAAATGAATATACAGACTGAAAACACTTCATGTTTTAGACTGTAATTAGTAATGGCAACCATAAAATATTAACATTTTATACAAACACATTTTAGGGATAAATCAGCTTTTAACTACTAAGAAAATGCAAATCTGTCTAAGCTTAATTTGATGACTATTCTATGCTGAACTCAATATTTGGTCTTGTAAAACAATTATCTCAATCCTATCATCCCTCATCTAAATCAATAAGTCATCGAAATGTCCAAACTTCGCAAAACGTGTCTCTGACCTCTCTGGGCGCTCCAGCGGTGTGAAGCGTATCCTCAGAAGTCTGATTTTGTACCGGGGGCCGATCACGTTCCCGGTGTTGATTCTCATCGAGATCTTGTGCACCTGCTGCAGATCCTCATCGAACTGAGCCAGTAGCCGTGAGGAAGTGTACTGCTCGAACCTGAGCTGCTTACTGTGAATAGAGAGGGAAGGAATTGAGTATAACATTATTTTGTGCAGATGTTCCTACAGGTTAAACCTGGCATCCAGATGTTTCCCTGACTCACTGATCTATCCGGGCCTCAGTGAAGTTTCTTCCGGTGTGCAGACGGATGTAGACGACACCCCAGCGCAGGTACTGGTTCCAGGTCACCATGTCCACTCTGTAGCTCATCTCTGACACACAGAAAACATTTATTAAGTTGAATTAAAAGCAAAAAAGTATGAAAAGGTACCAGATACATTTAAACCGTAAATAGCATGAAAAGACAGTTTATTGTTACATTCCTTCACTCATAAAAGTATGATTCTTCTGCATGTCGGTTAAAGCTATAACAATGTTATATTTTAAGTGAATCCGCTTTGTGCATGATGTTTTTAAGACTCACTCCTGTAGGGCAGCGTGCTGGTGGTGCTGAAGAAGGCTCTGGTCTGCCCCAGCTTCAGCAGCGTGTCTCTCCACTGACTCATATCATACCCTGCAGGTAGAAACAGAAAGAAACACAAACACAAGCTCCATTTAATCACAGTAAGAGCTTAGATTAGCATTACATGTTACATTAGTGCACATTTGGTGAGCTATTTGTCATACTTTTTCTATATCTTTTGCACATTTCTGCACAATGAAACTCCGCTCTTCCACTTTCAAATTCTGATATACTACACATATTCAATTTTTCTACAGTTTATATAAATAAATAGTATTTTTCTGAGTTTTTAAAGGCTCACATGAGAGAATAAGGCGGATGGGGCCTTTTTTGTTTTTAGTGCCTAAATTCTCATTATTCAAAGTAAATTAACTAATAAAAGTAAAATCTATTACTACAAAATATGTATTCGTTTTTAGAGTTAAAAGTTTGTTAGTATAATTAGGAATATGCACTTAAATTATTAAAAGTAAAATGACTCAATCCAGATAAACCCAAAACTTCAAAATTATTCAAAATAGATTAAATAAAAACATTTATTTTTATTTGTTAATTACATAATCGTTTTTAAAATAGTTCTATAGTTTCCCCTTTTTTACACCTTCATAATTATTTTTGTTTGACACCAAAGCAAATTCCTTTGATGTGTAAACGTAGTTTGGCATTAACCTGGTTCTGGTTCTGGTTTCAGCACGTACCGAGCACGGGGCAGGGTGCGGGTTTGAAGGCCTCACACTGCAGGCAGCGGCCCTCCAGGAAGTCGCTGTAGGACGAGCAGGGGTAACCGGTGAGGCTGCAGGTCCGATTCAGAGCGCACAGGAAGAGGAACATGGAGCGCTGGTGGTCACACACAAAGTACGCTTTACCTGAGGGAGACACACAACTGCAGTGTGAGTGTGTGCGGTGATTAATGAGTGTGTGTTGGATTGCTTAGTGTGTGTGTTTACCTGAAAATATGGTTTTTGGACACCCTGGTTGGTCTGCTCCACCGTTGGCGTAGAAGTCGATATGACCGTGAGTTCCTCTCAGTCCAAACGCTGCACAGGAAAAATACATGTTGAAAATAAGACATCATTTTTGTGCTGGTTATTTAGTTTCTTTAAAGGTCCCATGTCATGCTTTTCTGGTTATTACCCGTCCCCTTGTGTGTTATGTAGCTTTGTATGCATGTGAACGGTCTGCAGAGTCACAAACCCTCAAAGTACACCCTGTAGCGAGTAAAACTCTAACACAGAAAAGACCTGTCTATGCTGCCCCAGAACGCCTCGTTGGAGATTTCTCTTTTTCCATTTTTTTCTTCTTGGGTATAGTGACGTATTTGGGTATAGTGACGTAACGTAACGTCCGCGGAGCCGTTACGTTAAGACTTCCTCACACACACACACTCAATCTTTTCTCAGCTGCAGCTCCGGGGATTTCTCAGCCTGAGGCGGCGGGACGCGGCGAGGGTGTGTGTGTGTGCTCGGGCTGGTTTCGGGCTGGGTTTCGCTGTGTCTCGCTGTCTTGCCACTGGGCTCACAGGGAGGGGGGGCAGGAGCTCCAACAAGCCGTTTAGGACAGAGAGTGAATACACTATACACTATACAGAGATGCTGTATGAGAAACCAATGTGAGTTTGGAAAATTGCACAATATAAATCTATTTTAGTATACCTCAACAATGGAATTATGATCAGTAGAAATAGCCATGACATGGGACCTTTAAATATACTGTAAACTAACAGGTTTGCTTTCCAAACTTCCAAGCACATGTCAAGTACTTACATTAGTGCTTTAGGTTTCTCTAAAGCACTAATGTCCCAGAGACAATCCTATGTGTTTAGTTATAGTCAATAAATATAATTCAGAATCTTACAATCCATGTCGGTGTGAAGCACGTCCACAAACATGGCATCTGTCGGGTCCAGTCTCTCCTCTGGTATGGCGCTGGTGAACATTGGACCGGCCGGATCCAGACCTGGAGGGGAGGGGGACAGAAAGATCTCTTGGCACTCGTGTAACGGAATACTGCTCTGCTGCTTCTCTGTTGACAAGTCATATATTGATTTAATTATATTTAACTCACCTGTGATTCGTCCAATCTTCCCATGTAGGTTTGCTCCTACGAATCCGGCCAGGTGAGCTCCCAGACTGACGCCGAGCAGGTGGACAGAGCTCAGAGACGCTCCTTCCCCCTGTAGACACAACATTTATTAAAGTGTTGTGAATATTGTTCACTTTTCACAGCTGCCTGGAAACATTAGGACTGAGATAAATAGTAAATTCAAGTTTAAAAAAAAGAGGCTAAAAGAGCTGCTGACTTCCTCCCCACACAGGTCGTCTCACCTGCATGGTCTTGATGAATCCTGTCAGGTTGTGCGCTGCGTCGCGGGTGTTTGTGACGGCGGTGAAGTAGTTGAGGTTTGCCGCTCCTTTGTTCCAGTCCACCACGATGACGTTCATGTCCTCCTGCTCCGCCAGCAGTTGCACCAGGTGGTCGATCCAGATGGGGGGGGCTCCGGTGGGCCTGTAGCCATGGATGACGAAGGCGGTGGGTCGGGAGACGTTGAAGAACGGCTGGGAGGAGGGGTGGTGGTGATCCAGCTCGCGGCCGCAGTCCAGGTTGGAGCGGGTGTAAAGCAGCAGGCGCACGTACAGGACGGTTCCCATGAAGCAGTGCGACAGGTTCAGGTCTGTGAAGTTATCGCAGGACTCGCCCCCCCCACTCTCCTCCTGACCTGGACACACAGCAGGTCAGACATTAATGATGCTCCAGAGATCCAGAGATTTTATATTTTAATCGACATTTTTACTTTGGCTTAATTCTATTTTATTTTATATTTTTATTGCATATTCTTACTTTAACTTATCATGTTTATTCAATTATTATTATTCAAATGTTTATATATATTTTATTTAGTTTCACTCTAAAATGTCACAAAACTAATTTCCCCCGGTAAAAATAAAGTCTTCTGATCATAATCTAGTGTAATATCATATCAGCAAAAACTGGAATACTATTGATATTGAGGTATTGATTACAAATACATTTGATGTACTCTTAAGAAGCCAAGCCCTTATGTGACAAACATTCAAAGACGTATTAAAAACAACCTAATTAGAAGCTTCAAATGTAAAAAAACAACAAAAACATTCAGCACAGCCCTAGTAGTTTCAAACACACTTAGGTAGCATTTAGCATCACAGTTAATGGTATTTTCCCTGCTGCGTTTCCCGCTCACACACAGAGCTCATCACTGCCCTCAATAGGATCATGCTGCTATAAAAAAACACCTCATCCCCTACCAACCCGCCCCACCCTGAGCAAGAGGGTGGCCCCAATCCAGCCCCAAACACACACATTAGTAACCTATGAATAGCTGGCTGAGAGACGGTGTGTGTGTGTGAGTGCGACCCGTTGTATATTTACTTTAAAACCACCAGACAGAAACAGCACACAACCTAAACAAAGAGCAGCAGGAAAGGGATACTTATCTGTTCCTTAAGCTGTCTGCAGCCACACATACTTTACTTCAGCTTTCACTGTTTTTTAAGAAGTTCACATTTTCTTGAATGAATAAGCAGCATCGTTGGTGTTTTCCTTACCTTTGCAGAGCAGGAGGAGACCCAGCAGAAGCAGGAGTCTGCAGGAGAGCATCCTTCCTACAACAGCAGAGACAGAGAGGGGACCGATGGAGGTAAAGACAGAGAGGGGAAGAAGTGTGAATGAAGAGGGATGGAGGGAGAGAGTAAGTGAAGGAGGGAGGGATTGTTGTGAGAGGGAGGGAGGGGGGAGAGGAGGTACAGTACAGTAAGGATCAGTTTCTAGAAGGATGGAGAGGAATACCAAATAAATGGAGGAGAAAAGAGACAAGAGGTGTCAGAGTTTGGAAACAAATGTGATACGTTTTTGCTTATTTTTTTCAGAGTTTGAAGTGCTGCAGAGTTAAACTTAGTTCAAGCGTGCAAGAAAAGGATTTTCAAATATAACAACCCAAAGTTTGGGAATTCAAAATCAGCAAAAAACGTTATTTTTGATGAAAGAATATCCATTGTAAGTCATTATATTGAGAAAACCTTTCCAAAAAATGTACTTAGTATTTTCAAATAATAAACTTTCAATGAAATTGACAGCCAGTCCTACTACACTCTAAACATATATATATACAAAATACAATAAAAATACCTTATTGCTGAATAAATATATACCAAAGAGGAAAAAGTGTAAATCTGGTACAGTAGGTGGCCCTTGTATAGCTGCTCCTCTCCTCTGATTAGTGAGGTTGGAGTATGATTGTTTGTAATATGTAACTTTAAAAAGCTGGGGCCACTCCAGTTCTGGTTATTAATAGCTCCCTGGGCTCTAACCACACGGCACCCAGCCCTTGCTGCCCTGTACTCACTGAATTCATCGTGTAATTTAACATCCAGAGACTCTGAAAACACTTCAAAAGCAGCGAAACTGAACCGAGGGTTTCAGTAATGTAAGAGTGCACGCTGAAAACGTACAATCAGCAGTCGTAAGGCAGAGAAACCGACATGAAAACTCGAACTGGCCTCTACAAAATGTGTTTATCACAAGGAATACTGCTGCCTTCTGTATGCAATCTTGTTGTTTTACCACTTTGGTTTTCGTCCAGAAAAATTAAACAAGACCCAGCGTCTTAATTATTACGATTTTAATGTTCACGAAATGAAATGAATTCAAATTCTAATGCAAAATGCATCCGTACATCTGATAAGAGAACAATAAGAAAAGTATTGAAATTCTGCAGGTTTTTGTCTAAATACTAATAGGATCTGTGAGTTTTGTGTCTCTGCTGCTGACTGAGCAGCTATTGGCAGGGAGCAGCCAGGTAAAAGGTGAGTGTGAGGTCACGGTGTCCCGGCCCGTAAAGAGCTTACCTTTGAGGCCACGCCCTCTTTTTAGTCACCTGCCTGGCAAATAACAGAGCTGCCGGTACGAGATTATAAAACCAGCAACGTGTGTCAGGCTGCACTTCTTTGGTTCACACAGAAAACTGCGTGACGTTTGTGTTTAAGCATCACCTGTCTCCTGTGGAGGTTTTGTCATTATCCAGTTCATGTTATCTCTATGCTAAAAAGCTGATCTGACAGTGTTAAAAAAAACTGTACTTACTGTAGAAAACATTTTGAGCTACTTCAGTATTTTTCATTTTTCTGCTACTATACTTCAATTAATAATGTGACTTAATTTGCTAGTTACATTCCTGATTCAGAATTATACCTTCTCTCGGTTTTGCTAGCCCAACATTACATATTGATAAAATGGCCAAATCCTAAACTTAAATTCAGAATTTCTTTTAAATGGACATATTTGGATATCAGCTTACATATTACACATTTTAGTCCAGGTTTGGTGTGCATTAGATCAGTATAAAAATGGTGCAAAAATGTAATAAGCTATCTGATAAGGAATATTTCCCTCTGTGAACGGTGATGTAAAGATCTGGAGGTCAGGGTGTTCTATTAGAGGAGTCTTCAGCTAAAGCTTGGAGATAATCACAGCTAAACCTCTGAACCTGAACATATTCATGTCTCAGTAAACTGCAGTATTAGGTAATTGTAATGGGATGATCCATAATTATATCCCTTCTGCATTCTCTGCCTCCGTGAGCTGCATTATCAGGAATGAGGGGAAAAGAGATTTACTTTTAGCCATCTCAGCTGCGGATACCAGCTATCCACCATTATTTAATGACATATCTCAACAATTATTTCATGTATTGGAGTGAACTTTTATTAAAAAAACACAATAATTTTCTGAGGATTAGTGATATTTAAAAGAAGCACTAACAATGGAGATACCCATAGCAGAGGTAGAACTTAAATAAATATATTGCAACCACTTACATAAGTTTATAATACACAAATGTTGCTGTTCCACATATCCATCTTTAAATATTATTACAGTACTCAGTATTAATTCTACTGAACAGTATTTTATCTTACATTCCATTGTTATTCTATTTTATATGTTTCTTTGTTTTCTTTTTTGCTTTTAATTATAGTATGTTGCTTTATTGGAGGAGTCTTCAGGACTTCAGATTTCCATTTAAAATAGGCAAAAAGCTGATTTCAAACACATAACGTACAAATAAACGATATTTTATTAACAGAGGTACTGACATGTGATCATAATATGTGGAGGAGCTCTGTGGGGAGGGGGGCAGACCACGATGTGGGCGCTGCTCTGCACGGAGTCAAAAGTACAATATTTCCCTCCGAGATGTAGTGGAGCAGAAATTAAATATAGCACTACTAAAAAGAGATTTATTAAAGAAAGTTTACATTGCGAAAAGGGGAGAAAAAACATGACCAAAGCCTATAGGGAGGATAGTCTACATTCTATATAGCTAGCATCACTATTTATATTATTTTTTAGTCTTTCCAAATAATCCTACTTTATTACCTCCATGCGGAATTCTCCATCACTCGAATATTGTCTATAAATGTGCAAAGATATCCAACATATACATTCATTTCACTGAGCGGTGGCGATACCTGGTCTTAACAGCAACTTGCAGTGATTAATTAACCAGATGGAGGAGCTTTGTGTGTTTTATAACAGGAGTGTGTGTGAGATAGCCGGTGTGTGTGTGCGTGTGCGTGTGTGTGTTTGTGTGTGTACCATGGCCCTGGCCTTCCTGATGGCCTCGGCCTCTGAAGCCATGCAGCGCTGTAGGGTGAAGGGAAGCGTCACATTTTTCAGCTCCACCCGCTCCACCCGCTGCACCTGAATGCCCCACAGTCTGGATGCAGAGTAGAGCACCTCCTGCAGGACACACAAAATATATCATTTATTTATATCAAAGTATCAGGTACATATCCCAATATTATGGTGCAAGTGGCACCATTTAACCATTTTTTTATTTAAAAAAAGTGTCCCATATATTTTTAACACTGGATTATTTTTTACCTGTTGAACACCTATATAAAATGTAAACAAAAATCATAAAGGAATAGAGTTTCAAGATGGGAAACAGATAAAGAACATGTTTTTTGTGTGCAAAAATAAATAGAAAATATTCTTCCTGTAAGAAAAAACCCAAAGACTTGTCTTTAGAGAAAAACTAATGAGTTGAGTATGTTATAATATGAAATAGCTCTTACAAAACAGCATCATTCAAATTGATTTCCGCCACCGTTTTTGTTAATTTTTTGTTAACTTCCATTCTCTTTGCCATGCTTTTCCTCTGTGACAGTATGTCTGTCAGAGTGTGTGTGTGCCCAGCGTGGCATTCAGGGTCGTTTGGGCCAGAGAGTGTGTGGCCTGGTTGCCATTTTCAACACGCGTCACCCAGAGCGAGGGGTCCACCACTCGGTAAAACACAACAGCATCCATCATTAATGGAACCCCGTCTGCAGTCAGAACCTAAGCAGGGGATGAAGAGAGAAAAGATCATAGAATAAAGGACAGTTTTCTCCCTGTGTGTAGTGTTCATGCTGCTGACCTCTTGTGGCTGGATGGTGAAGGAAACGGTCCGCAAGTCCACTTTCTGGATGACATCCAGCCAGGGGATGAACCAGAAGAGACCTGCAGAGACACAGAAAGATATTTCATTTTCTATGCCAGAATTGTTTTGATAGGTCATCACTTCCTTTTATATTATCTTTTGATTTTCAGCTTTAAGTACAGTAAAGGTTTCTACATAGTATGACAGTGATTACATTATTTGTATACCCCAATAATAAGATAATGAAAAATATATATTTGTACCGGGTCCTTTGGCCCGTCCCTTTACAACACGGCCCAGTCTGAAGATCACGGCCCTCTCACACTCCTTAATGACCTGCAGGACAGAAAGCATTGCCTTTAAGTTAAGCAAAGACTGAGTATATTTCATAAATATCATTTTGTATGTCATAATTTTTACACAAGAATCTAAACTACAATAATACAATTTGAAACAGTTGCTTCATTTTATAATGAAATGTAAAAAAGGGTTAAAAAAAATAAAAAATAAAATAGAATACAAATATTTTTATAACATAAGCAGTTAAAGGTGGGGTAGGTAATTTTGGAGAAACCAGCTCGAGTGCGCTAGAATTTGAAAATACACAGCCGGAAAAAATCTGCCACTTCCTTACAGAGCCCCTCCTCCTCCAACACACACGAACACGCACATGATCAATGAGGGCACGAGATAAGTTTGTGCACAGATGGAAGGCTGACAGGCAGGTCGGCCATCCAGTTATTTTAGCCGGGCCGGCTAAAATGATTGGTCGTGCTTTTTACAGTATTACGGCTTCCACAGATGACATTTTTTTATGGATTTTTTGTCAAAGCACTTCAGATATTCATTGCTATCGGAATATAACAAAAAGTGTATCTCGAGCCGGTTTCTCAAACTTACCTACCCCACCTTTAAGTAAGAATAAGATTAAATATAAGATAAGAAAATACTTATATAAACATTGAAGTTAAATAAAAAATGTGTGTTTATATAATAATAATATTTACAGTGGTGTATTGGTATTAATACTATAATAATATTTTCCAAACCAGTTTCTTAACTTTTAACTATTTTTGCTTACATTTGAATAAGGAGCTTCACTAGTTAACAAGAATCCCGTTACGGAACACTTTAAAAACAACAACAATGTCATGTTAATTGCATAAAGTGTGTATCTTAATGGTGGAAGCCTTAGGTGAATGATAAATCAGTGTTTCTTCTGTGTGTTTGTGTCGGATACCTTAGCACACATCCAGGCTGAGAGGGGGAAGGTGAAGAGGATGAAGGCCGTGGACAGGAGGGTGAGCACCGCCCCGAAGACTCCAACCAGCGGCGGGCTCCTACGTCCTCCATCTTTCCCCAGCATTACCCTCCGTATCGCCGATAAACACGTTTCAAGTTACTTTATATCGCTATATTTAACACTAAAGCAAAGTTGAACTGATTTTCAAGCCATTAGCTCCTTTTGCCCTCCAAACTTTATTGAGAAAAATCTTACAAACAAACAAAACATTGCTTGAGTTGTAATCTATAAATAAATAGAAAAATAGCATATAATAATAATTTTGAATTTAAATACATGAATAAAAAAAAATGTAAATAAAAGAAGACAATAAAACAGAATAAATATATTTTATACAGTGAACATAAGAATTACCAGTATCAACAAAAATGTGCTAATTTGACTACTTAACAACATTATGTAAACGTGTGTAAATTACACTATATACAGAGTTTGATTCGTATAATTAGAAGATAATAAAGCTGAAGCTCATTATTGCTCAAAAAGTACAGTGTAAGTTAATATAGTCAGTTTCACCCCTTGCTCTATTACTCACATGCTCTGTCTGTCACATACACATCACACTTCCTGTGAAACCGTCAGGCCACTACTTCTGTCTTTTTAGCTCCCACAAGTCACTCTGCTGTACACCTCCATGTGTGAAGCTCTCTCTTTCTCTTTCATTCCCCTTTACCTCTGCAGGTCTGCTTCTATGGCCCCTGTAATAAGTCTAAGGTGCTGTTTTTGGAAATGAATCTGTTCTGAGGCGTGTTTGTGGATGTCTGACAGTTTCTCCTCACCATGGCAGCAGCTGTGCCGGTGAGTTATCACGGCGCCATCACCAAAGCCGAGTGTGAGGAAATGCTGGGGAAGAAGAACAAGAATGGAGCATACCTGATCCGAGAAAGCGAGACCATCCAGGGAGCCATGTGTCTCTGTGTTTAGTGAGTAAACTGCAGTGGAGAAAGTCTCTTAATGGATTTAAGTCATGTAGGTTGGCACATGCAAGGATTTGGCATTGATTGTTGGTGCATAACATAAACAAAGTAAGATAAAATTGCAAAAATCAAGAAGCCTGGAAGAAAAATACAATAAGAATGTGAAAAATCTATGTTATGTTATGTTACTTGTCTACTTCTACCTAACTACATTTCAGAGGCAACTGTTATTGTACTGTACTTCCACATGCAAGGACTTTGCTTCGGTGTTCGATGCATAAAATGTACAAAGCTAGAGAATGTTATGAATGTATTTCAAAAATCAAGATACATTCAATAAGATAACTTAAGAAAATCTATATTACACTGTTGAAGTAATTTTATTTATACCTAATTAAAAGAACAAATACTCAAAGATTGACACAAACTTAAGTTTGTTTTGGCGGATAGACCGCCGGTACCTATGGACGGTACGAGTGTGTTTATGGTCGTTAAACATGTTTTGTCCGTTCTCAAGCTTTGTTAAAGTGTTTCACACTTTGTAATTGTCGATTGCACCTCTCAGCCACCGTAAAGAACAATACCATTTCCTTTACGTGTTTTTTGCAGCTCTTATCAATAATTAATTAATTTAACATTTAACGTTTATCTTCACAGCAAACAGAAGGTGGTGTATACCTACAGAGTGCTTAAGACACACAGTGGACACTATACTCTCATGGTAAACACACACACACACACACACACACACACACACACACACACACACACACACACACACACACACACATATATATATATTGTAAGTATAGTAAAGAGAAAGGTGGTCAAAACAAGTTAATGTCCCACAAAGTAATGGATGGTACACACCCTTCCTTAGTTCTTTATTTATGTATATTTTGACGGCCTAGAAAGTACACACCTTCTCATTCAACATTTCTACCACATCAAGCCAAAGATGGATACTTTAAATAATGTAAAATACAGAAAATATTTGGCTTTGTTTACACTTTCTGCATAATTCCATTCATGTAATTTAATTGTTTGGATGTCTTAAGTATTAATCCAAGATGTAGGACATTATAATAATACAGAAAAAACATTAAACTAGCAGGTGTGTGCAAACGTTTTACTGGTTCTGAGTGTAATTGTTAAATGCAAAGTAGCTTGTGCATTAAAACTGAGGAAATGACCACAGTGACAAACACTTCAAAATGAAACCAAACTAAAATGCCCACATCTAAACTGAGTTGTTCAAAGACAGAAACGGCAGCAGAAGCACTTCCTCAGTGTCATTTTTCTAAATTTAGAAATAATTAATTAATTCACCACAGATCAGGAGGGTTGATTGGTTTTGATTCCTAACTGGAAACTCATGCCCATGTCACAGGAACTTCCCTGACGTGTGATTAGACACAAACACACATTTCCAGAACTCTGAATAGCCGCCCACACACAGGAGATGGAAATAGCAACTGGTTATCAGGCTGCTCAAATTTAAAACTCACAGGGCTATTCAATATTTTTAAGGCTCTTTGATTTTCTTTCTTTTTTTCATTATTTACAATCTAGTTTATTCTTCGTTGGATTGTTGTTTTTGGGTGATTCATATCTTTTTTTCAAAGTCATTATTTTATACTCCTTTTCTCATCATTTCCCCTTCTTACATGATTTATTTTATTCCCCTTCTTATATGTTGTTGTCAGATTTAGTACTGAAACAGTTAGTTCAACATTGCTTGACAACTCTTATTATCTTGAATCATCCAGTAATATTTCAAGCAAAACTGCCAAAAACATGTGCTTGTTTAATCTGAGGATTTGACATTATGCTCAGATAATGGATATTTAAATGTCTTATTTGACTTCTTTTTTTTTTTACAAATTGACAAATGTATAGACAACCCTTAGCTTGCTTTAACATGCAATGTCTCTTTTATTGTGTTTTCCTCCTCCATTATTTACTGGATGCTGTTTTCTCCCTTCAGACTGCAGGAGGTATTGAAGAAACACATTTTAAGAATTTGGACGATCTGATCCGGCACTATAAGAAGAAGAACCAGGGCCTCGCCATGCACCTGCGGCACTCTGTCAAAAGAAAGACAGCCATGTTGATCAAGCAGCCAGCAGAACCACAGAGGATGGCAGAACCACAGAGGATGGCAGAACCACAGAGGATGGCAGAACCACAGAGGATGGCAGAACCACAGAGGATGGCTGAACCTGAGGAACCTGACTATGAGGAACCTGACGAATCTGACTATGCGAGTACGTCACATATTTTATATCTTAAAATCGGTTTATGTCCAGAGAGTAAAGCAGAAAATGCACAAAACACAACATTTGTATAATAATCAACCTAAGATCTCCTTACAGTGAGTAACATGCAGCTTTTTAATGAGCATATACAAAATAAAACAATATAAAACACAAAAGAAATAACACTGAGGGGATTTCTGCAGAAAATGTGCCCTGATAACCCGAGGACAATTTAAAAAATAATAGTATTCTTCATATAGGTTTAAAAAAACATTTAAAACACAATTTCCATTAAACATCATCAGCATCTTCTTTTATTTGTTGTATTGATTGACCTGATATTGTCTTTATTTTCCTCTAGATGTTCCTGACACTGATTACGTTGAGGTCTTGCCTCAATGAACAACTCTGACATTTAGCTTAAACAACACGAGCAGAGTGGAAAATACATTTGGTATCAAAAACTTACAGACTGGATCAAATTCAGAAATATAAATAAGGTTGGACAAATGCTGAAGAAAAAGACTCGCCTCCAGTGGATGGACTTTTATGCAATTTGTCTCATTCATGACACCCAGAGGATGAATTGTTTTTGTGAATTGCAAAAATGTGACTTGGAGTTGAGTGCTATTATAACATGCTAAGCTAAGATGTTAAATATTAGCATGTTGTCAATATTCATAGTTGGCATCAGTGTTGGAAGAAGTTCTCAGATAGTTTAAAAATACTGCCCTCAAAATCAAGCTTACATTAAAGTACAAAAGTAAAAGCACACCTCATCACCCATTTCAGAACAAATTCATATATATTATTAGCTAAATTATAATTATTGATGGATTACTGTCTTCATCATTTAGATGATGCAGCTGGTTAAGGACGAGCCAATTTTAATAACTTAACATACTGTACAGTCTCTAAAGGTCAAATTTAGTTGACTTTTTAAGTAAAAAATACAATATTTGTAAGTAAAGTACTTAAAAATAACACTTGTGCAGTATAGTAAATATACTTGAAATCACTTGTTAGCATTTAATTCCTTGTTAATGCCGCTGTACATGTGTAGAATATAGAACTGTTCATCTGCAGAGACATAACATGATACTTTTTACTCCTGCTGTGAGACACTCAACTCAAGTTTCCATTTGAAAGCAATCTGAAATGTGATTGCAAGTGCATTTATCAAGATTTGCATCTGAATTATCATGACGCATGTGGAAACATATCCTTTATCTCAAAGTTACCATACTGTGAACTAGTTTCCAGTTCCAAGAATATTGACTCTTTGGCCTCTGGGCATTGCATTTACATGAATCCAGCAAAACAGTGTTTGTTTTTGAGTTACACTGCAGTTCCTTATGTCATGGCTTTTATTTCTATAATTGTATACAGTAAAGAACATTTTGGCATTTGTTTCCATTCCTACAGACATGTAGAATGACAGGGTGGCTGGTATTTGTTATACATTTACGCTTTGTAAATACTAATCTATTCCATTTTCTTTTGTACCCGTATAATCTTTTGTGTTTTATGTGCAATTACAGTAAAATATCCCTCTTGCAGACACAACATACCTGAAACTCATAGACTTTAGAGAACTTCCTCACTTTGCAGAATTATGTTAAGATATGACTTGAGAACCTTATATCAGTTTATGGCAGATCACTATGCTAAAGAGACCAAACAAAACCACTTCTGCATTGTCTGTTGGACAAAAACATCACTTGATATCACTTCACATCCTGTTGCTTTCACACCTGCAATACCAACTCATGACACATTTTAAAGATAGTTTTCATTTGGCATTTTCATTGCTTTACTGTAAGCATAATTCTAGTAAGAGGTTATTTTTGTAATTATGGGTGATTTGTGCATATTTTAAGCAGATGCATGCTTCTGTTTATGTGCAAGAAAGAAAACAGCAAAGAGACAAGATGAAAAGCAAAACAAATTCAGTGGTGGGCTTCAAGAGTATACATGCATAGTATAACCACATTTTCGCCACACCGACATAAACAGCTTCGACACTCACATGTTCTATAGCAGAGCATCTTTATCTACTCATGAGATTTGTATTTTATTTGAAGTTTGATGATTTCGTTTATGGTTGTATGGACTCACTGATAACAGGCCGATATTATTAGCCAATAGCATTTTATGTAGGAAATATGTCAGCTGCTTAATAAGAAGAAGTTGAGGTTAATGGCATACCATAACAGCACCCTTTCAGCATGAACCGCTTTATTTACTGTCTCTGTTTAAAAATGGCAAAAATATATTAATATATATTTATATATATTATTTTTTTACCACAAATATATATAAATTACTTGAGAAATCTGGTAAAAAATAAATAATTAAAAAACGTTGAATTCTGACTGATCTTGCTCTGAACAAGTAAACTGGTGATGATTTTGTTATATTTCGTTCATGTATTTATTTTCTTACATGATATTATATTTTTATTTCACTCTTTGTATTTTACTTTAAATGCGTCTGGTAGTTGTTACGCCCCCTTACGTTACGTGTCCTCGCCTGTACCCGCCCAATACATGCAAAAGGGGGGAATTGATATTTAGTCAACTTGATTTTTAAAACAAAAATCACATTAAACTTTCAGACGTCATCATATTTAATAGTACAGTATTCAAATAATATGATTGATTCATTTATATCATTCACAAATCATACAAGCTTTTATAATGTCGAGATAACCTTGCCCCCCCCCCCCCCCCTTTTGACATGGTCCGTCCCTTTCCCGTTCGAAGCTCAGCGCGGGAGGAAGTAGCTGTGTTGCCGGTTGTTGTTGATGTTTCTTGGGGAAGAAGAAGCACCACAGGTAGTCAGATATACACAAAAAAGCACAACCATAACTCATGTAATAGTTAGAAATATATATCGAGTAGTCCAAAAATGTTGAGCCAGTTTTGTATTAGTGTAATTTTCTATTGTTATAAAGCTCTTAGGTGGGCTGGTTAGCTAACGTTAGTGTTAGCGTTAGCATCTTGGAGGTTCAAGATGGAGGTGTACAACGTCAGTTACTTCTCTTTGAAAGCGAGCTAATGTGTTGTGTCACTGTTATAACCCTATAGATAATACTTTTGCTCAACAGGATGGACATGACGACGTGTTTAAAGTCTCTGTTGCTGGCTATCCAGCAGTACAGAGGCGGCAGGACTGCTCAAAATGCAGCGCAGCTACACAAACAAGTGGAGGTGAGCCTGAATTAATAATCGGATTTAATTTAACTTTATAACAGACATATAACATCACAACAATACCAAGGGAGCATGGTTGGCTTTCGGATGTGTATTGTTTATTTTGTGTTAGAAAAGCCTATTTTCGGTGGTGTAAAGTAGCTCAATACATTTCCTCAAGTACTGTACGTTAGTACAATTTTGAAATACTTTTACTTAATTTTAGTTGAGTATCTCCATTGTATGCTACTTTATACATCTACTCCTCTACAATTCAGAGGTAAATCGTGAACTTTTACTCCACTACATTTATTTCCTACCTTTAGTTACTTTTCAGATTTGGATTAATGATGTGAAATATAATCAACACTTAAATCCGATTTAGCTAACCTGGAGTCCAATTCAGAAGCTACCCTGCAGTCAATGAAGTCATTAAAACTAGCTGCACCTTTACCAGCTTTATTAAACACATCAATACCTTAATAATTATAATCAAAACATATGGTAATATATGATTGAGAAATGGGCCAATCTGCATAATGAGTGCTTTTACTTTTGGTGCTTTAAGTATATTTAGATGCTAGTACTTTTGTACTTTTACTTGGGTAACATATTGATTGCAGGACTTTTACTTGTAACAGAGTTTTCCTATACTCTCGTACTTCTACTTTTACTTAAGTACAAGATCTGAGTGCTTTTCCACCTCTGCCTCTTTTGTATTTTGTTAACCCACTCTTGGATACTATAAATTAAAGTAAGAATAAAGGAATTGTGGAAATGGCTTTAAGTTCCATGACAAAGTCCCTGGATTCACAAAAGAGTATAAACTATCTTAATAACATTATACTCTGTTTTAAAGCCCCGGCCACACGAGGACGATAACGGTCGTATCTGCTACAGTTCACTATCAGATAGATGGTTCGGCCACACGAGGCCGACATGGAAACGCAGAAAACGATAACGGGTCCCAAGGTGGGTAGATCTGCAAATGAAACGCTCTGGGGGGGGCAAACGGCTCCGTGTTTATGCCTATACGATAATTTCCGGATAACGTTGAAGCAATAGCCCCGCCTCTCCCCACCTCTCCTGCTCAGAGATCAGCTGCTGGGCTGTCAGAAGAGGGGGAGGAAAAGAGAGGCTCTGTTTTTTATTATTATATAGAGTCGTTATTCATTTGTTCGATAAATAACAAAGAAGACCTTTGACCGGCACTTTTCTAATTTTGTCCGGAAGATTTAAACTTTAACGGACATGTTGACCGGCGAAAAAAAATCTAACTGAAACTGCTGCACGGTCCCCTCGTCCCTTGGAAGAGGCGGAGAGGTGGGTGTTTTTCATCTGCTGGTGGACTACCGGAGAGATCTACAGCGGGAGCAAACGCTTGCCTCTGGGAGGGAGAAAAAGAGCCAGAGCGTCCACAGCGGAGAATAAACAGAAGGGCAACCATGCGCGGGAAGTCTTCTTCGCTGCTTTTGTGGCAGGACTACAGCGCCACTTACAGGCCTGGCATATGTACAACAGCGTCTCCAGCGCTTTCGAGCGGTCTCGTGTGAACGGACACATTTCTGGTGCCTGTTGCGTGTGGACGGAAGACTTTTTTGATAACGATTGCGGTCCGTTTGCGTTATCATCCTCGTGTGGCTCCAGCCTAGCCTTTCCTTTGTGATTACAAGCTAAACTGAGATGCTGTGGCTTTACTATATGTTGGTTGAAATGTTGCATGTGTACATAACAAGTTGCAGGTCCCTATGAGTGCATGTTGTGTTTGTGGTTGTTTGCAGGAGGTGTCAGGCCTCAAGTGTGACCAGCTGCTGTCCTCGGGTCAGGCTCTGGCCCGGGAGTGTGTGAGCGGGCTGGTGGAGCTGGCTGGAAACCCAAACACCAGCCCCAACATGACGAGCTCCATCATCTCCCTGCTGGCACAACTAGGTACATAGTACATACCAGACACATTTATCAACATCCACATGCGCGATGAGCTAAGTAAGTGTTTTCATGGTGGCATCAGAGAAACAGGAGCCAGGGTATTTATTTTGCCGATTTGCTGGCGTTTCACCCACTTTTGTAAAATCTTTCTGACACAGATGATAGGTGTCATATAGATGCTAAATAGGATCTCGCACGTCTCTCTGCTGCTGGTTTAAATCTCACATGTTACTAATAACATATCACATATGTTGCCTTGTAAAAGCAATGACTCTTCACTTTAATTTGACGTCTATGATTCTTATAACGTTAGCAGTTCAGCGAGGAAAATAATACAATAGAATTTGAAGAGATTAAATACACATAATCAAAACATAAATACAAAAATGAAAAACACAAGATGCAATGAAATGCATACTGAAAAACTAAAAGGAGAAAGCAGTTATAAGTGTGATTCATGAGGCAGAAACTGAACATCCAGCCCTTTTCTAAAAAAATCGTTGTCCTTCTTCCCACCTGCTGCTCCAGCCTGTGATGATGACAGTCGGGAGATTCTTCACAGCAGCTACAGCCTCACCAGCTCCCTGGCGTCTGTCATCCACTGCCACAGCGCCACACCTGGGGAGCCCCTGGTACTGCAGGTAAGAACATCACTGCATTTGGTCAAATGTTTCGCTCATGGGTCCACACATAGCTGCTTTCTCTTCTGTGTACAGCATATTTTCAGTACACAGAATACATTGTTTTAATCAGTTGTTAAAAAAGTACCTATTGTTTATTTTATTAATATTCTTTGTAAAAAATAAGGTAGAGTAGGCTGAGTCTGAGACACATTTTTCCTGAAATAAGCTCCAGTTGGTCATTGTTGGGCTTGCACATAGAATCGTTATTATATCAAAATCGTAATATGGGCTAGGGCAGGGGTCGGCAACCCGCGGCTCTTTAAGCCCTCTACTCTGGCTCCCTTGAGCTTAGACAAAAATAAGAAGCGCCTTTTCTTGCAGGTGAATAACCTGACCCCCGGCTCGATGAGCGAACTATGGATACATCAAAGGAAATAAAAGTATCGGAGGAACACAGAGGGTTTAATTCTGCGTGGTTAGAGTTATCTGCTTTCACAGCAAACGATGCTGGCTTACCGGTATATTTGATATGTTGAGAGAAGTTGTCAAAGGTGCTGCAGCCTTTACGTATTGGAGGAAAAACACGGAAGAGGAAGACAGCTGACGATCTTCAGTCATAATTCAATCAGTTAACTCTTTTTAGGGTGCAGCTATATGTTTTATTTATTTCATAGTGGGCCCATTTGAATTATATTAATTTTCTTCAAATGGGCAGAGGACTCCCCAAGTGCTGTGTTGATTTATTTTAAAGTAGGCCTGTGTATTTTTTTTTATTCTCCTTATAAGAGTTCTTTGTTTATTATTAGAGGTAAACAGTTTTCTATAATGTAATAAATAATAAATGCAAAAAAACTGTAGTTTTTGTCTATGATGTAACAATATATACAACTTTATAAACTATCAAGCTATCAAATATGTTTTGCGGCTCCAGACAAAAAAAATTGGTGGAAAAGGGGACAAAATGGCTCGTTTGGTCAAAAAGGTTGCAGACCCCTGGGCTAGTGTAATGTCCGAAATCAAAGCAAAATATGTGAAAATATCCTAATGAAGTTTTTTTTTTTATATGATAATGTGAATAAAGTTTCAAAAGGATAATTTCCTCTATTAAAGTCAATCAATCAAACAATCAATCAATGTTTATTTATATAGCCCAATATCACAAATGTTACATTTGTCTCAGTGGACTTTACAGCATGTCTTCAGTATACAGCGTTGTCATGGCCTGGCTCTTGGCCATAACAAAAAGCGTGGGAAGGACAAGAATATATAGGAAAAGGTATTTATTTGGCTAAACTCAATGTGGCCAAAGACAAACCAAAGGGTAAGGCAAAAAAAGAATAAACGACGTGGCTGCTCTCCGAGGTCCGGTCCTCTGCGGGGAGAGAGATCGAGAGTCTGCTCAGGGGCCTCATTTATAACGCCTTGCGTAGGATTGACGTAGGAAGGTTGCTTACGTAGTACAAAGCACAAAAATAGGTACATACATTTCCCGCCATTTTCCGATTCACAAAACATTGCGTACCGGCGAGGGAAGTGCGTACGGCACTCCCTACGCCTGTTTCCCTTGATAAATCACAATCGACTCGTAACGCCCATATTTGCCTATAAATAGTCAAAGAAACGCCCATTCATTCATTCATTTTGACTGACTGCATGAAGAAGATCGCAGGAAATGACGATAGAACAGCTAAAAAAGACATCTCGCACCGTGTCAGATTTAGGTTATTGTGGGGAGGTCGAGATAAATCATATTGTTTGGTGGATGCAGTTTGAACCAGAGTAGCAGCATGGAGGTCGGATCGTCACCAAAATAAATAAAGTGGTCCGAAAAAAGTTAATGACAAAAAAAAGACACATAACCTTCCTCAGGCAGTGTGTTTGTACCGGGGACAGGAGACACCCCCTTGATGAGAAACTGTAAGAAATGATCGGGGAATCCCTCCGGAGTGGAGTCATGACGACTGGATCTGAATTATTTTGTTGTATTTGGTGGTTTGTGTTCCAGCTGTCGATCAGCAACTATATATCCATAATCCACCAGTTAAAGGAAATACAACTAATGTGTTGTGTTATATTAGCTGTACAATTTACACATATGGTGTTCTTGTTTCCATACCTCCTGTGTTTTACGAGCGACTTATCAAGTCTTGGCAAACGGCATAAAACACGATTAAACGTGATAGTATATAAAACCATGCTCGTATCTACAACCTATAGAAATGCAAAACGGCGTCAGTTTAGATGTTATTCTGTCCTCCTGCTTACCGCATCATTTATGAGAAAACATTTCATAACATTAACACAACATATTCGAGGTGGTTTTAAATAACATATCCGTATTTATTTATTTCTCCAAGTTTTTGTGTGCACTGAGGAGTCTCAAACAGGCGTTTGTTTAATCATTTTAAGATTGGCTTTAATCAATGTTTGAAAATGAATTCTTCATATGATAAATGAGAGGTAACATTTTATTTATTTCCACATATTTCTCTCCATTCTTCCTTCTGCCAACGGTGTCGCAGTTTCTCGTCTCTCCCGTTTGTGTGCTTAGTGCGTACGCATGGGTTAGAGTTTGCGTGGAGGACCGCACATTTTCCCGTCAAGTTAGAATTTTATAAATCGCAAACATTGCGTAGAAACTGGCTTATGCCATTTTTTGAGCGTATATCCCTTTATAAATGAGGCCCCTGGCCTTTAAATCCTCCGGTGCCAGCAGCCAGGTGTCCTCAATCAGCGCTGACACAACAGAGGGAGAACATTAAAGGGCCATACACACACACACCACAGGAGACAGTAAAGCAGGGGTCGTCACAGCGCATATTGTATTTCTATTGTATTTTCTGGTTAATGCTTCCTTATTGGTTATTTTTATATATTATTTATCAAAGTTAGGCAAATAGTGAGGCACATATTTATATGAATTCTCTTTTTCTAAAATACGATAAATCGATTTACAGTTGGTCATGGTTGAGATACAATCTTTGAATAATTTTGAGTGTTATTCATGGTAAATTCACTAAACAATAATTGATTGTAATGTTGTCTTTTGTGTCCTTCAGTGTTTGCAGGTGCTGCAGAAACTGACTTACAACACTCGCATCTTCCAGTCGACAAACTACATTCACGAGCTCATCGCTTTTTTAATGACCAACATGTAAGAACCACCATCTCCAAGTATGATTCATTGAAGGATGTGTTTTTGACATTTCACCAACCGTTTGACTTTGGGTCCCTTAGCCAGTCTCACAATGAGGACATCATCATGCCGTGCCTCGGCCTTATGGCTAACCTGTGTCGCGATAACCACTCGGTGCAGAGCCACATCAAGTCTCTGGTGAGTGACTGCACACAGGAAATAAACAGGATGTCTGGTTAAAGAGAGATGTGAATTGCTTTGAATAGGGTTAGGGGGTTACAGAGTGTATCTGTGTGTAGAGCATAGAATAGAGGAACAATCACTTAATTAACTGATTAGTCAATTGACAACAATTAATTAGGAACAGTTTTAATTTATAATTTGTTAAAGGAAATACTATTTTGCAGCATTTCATTCTCTTATTTCTTTGAGAATGTTCCTCAACTTATTTCACATACATTATCAAACATGTTTGCAAAAAATACCTTCTTTAGATGTTATTTAAGTGACAAAGAGTATTTGATGCGTGTTGTGTTTGAATGACATGCAATTGGATGGTTAGTCCATGCCTGATGACGCATTGACACAACTATAAACAACCACAAAGCATCTAAAAAAAAATTTTTTTTTAAAGGCATCACAAGTCCTGACAACCCTGACAAGGTTTTCATCAGATAAATGTCATCTGTTGAGCAGTAACTAAAGTGTTTCTTCCAAATCCACATAATAGACTAAACCTATTTCAACATGGCAGACAAAAGTTTCACAAAACATAAAGATCGTCAGTTTGTGGCTAGTTTTAGATATCTTGTAAATATGTGTTTGTGTGTGTGTTTCAGGACAACGTGAAACCATTCTACCGCACTCTGATCAACTTCCTGGCTCACAACAGTCTGACGGTGGTCGTCTTCACGCTGTCCATCCTGGCCAGCCTCACTCTGAATGAGAAGGTTGGAGAGAAGGTAGGCGTGAAATACAAAATACTGAGAGCTCACATGTATCTTTTCAAATGTATCCTATCCTTTCACTCAGATTAAGCAAAATCTTGATAAACAGACATACTTAATTAGTCCTAGAATGAACGTTGTTACAGCAAAGTGCAGATAAAAGGCAACATAAAATGAGTAGACATGAATAATACAACATAAACATAAATAAAGAGGTAAGTACACATGAATTACATAATAATCCATTTAAGACAAAGCCAAGGTTAAAACATAAGTTGCAGCTTTATACAAGTAAGTGAACATTTAAAAGTATTGAAGTAGCAGCAAGTAATAACATTACTAAATTAAAACAAATTATATATTGCACATAAGTAGTTATTGTTTCTGAATTCTTATTTCATTGTGGAAACTACTGCCTTTCGCCTGTATCTACTTGTACTTTCGTCTGTATCTACTTGTCCTTTCGCCTGTATCTTCTTGTCCTTTTGCCTGTATCTACTTGTCCTTTTGCCTGTATCTACTTGTCCTTTTGCCTGTATCTACTTGTCCTTTCGCCTGTATCTTCTTGTCCTTTCGCCTGTATCTACTTGTCCTTTCGCCTGTATCTACTTGTCCTTTCGCCTGTATCTACTTGTCCTTTCGCCTGTATCTTCTTGTCCTTTCGCCTGTATCTTCTTGTCCTTTCGCCTGTATCTTCTTGTCCTTTTGCCTGTATCTACTTGTCCTTTCGCCTGTATCTTCTTGTCCTTTTGCCTGTATCTACTTGTCCTTTCGCCTGTATCTTCTTGTCCTTTCGCCTGTATCTACTTGTCCTTTCGCCTGTATCTACTTGTCCTTTCGCCTGTATCTTCTTGTCCTTTCGCCTGTATCTACTTGTCCTTTCGCCTGTATCTACTTGTCCTTTCGCCTGTATCTACTTGTCCTTTCGCCTGTATCTTCTTGTACTTTCGCCTGTATCTTCTTGTCCTTTCGCCTGTATCTACTTGTCCTTTCGCCTGTATCTACTTGTCCTTTCGCCTGCATCTTCTTGTCCTTTCGCCTGTATCTACTTGTCCTTTCGCCTGTATCTACTTGTCCTTTCGCCTGCATCTTCTTGTCCTTTCGCCTGTATCTACTTGTCCTTTCGCCTGTATCTACTTGTCCTTTCACCTGTATCTACTTGTCCTTTCGCCTGTATCTACTTGTCCTTTCGCCTGCATCTACTTGTCCTTTCGCCTGCATCTACTTGTCCTTTCGCCTGCATCTACTTGTCCTTTCGCCTGCATCTACTTGTCCTTTAGCCTGCATCTACTTGTCCTTTCGCCTGCATCTACTTGTCCTTTCGCCTGTATCTACTTGTCCTTTCGCCTGTATCTACTTGTCCTTTCGCCTGTATCTTCTTGCTCCATTTACTGTTTGTGTGACAGTTCATCGATGGGGACTGTCCACGACACTATAAATAAACTAAACTAAACCAATTTTTTTTTTGCAGTTACATATATTTTGTCATTTTGCATTCAATCCTGTTGGCCTATCAGCACTTAGCAACCCTTTTTATTGTAGTAACAAACAATAATAACTATTATGTTGTGCTATGTGCTTAATAACGTGTCTTTTTCCCGCAGCTCTTTGATGCAAAAAACATCCACCAGACTTTCCAGCTCGTGTTCAACATCATCGTGAACGGTGACGGCACTCTGACCAGAAAATACTCCGTGGACCTTTTGGTGGACTTGTTGAGAAACCCTAAGATCGCAGATCACCTTTCACGGTGCGACCACATGCCTCATGTTCAGCGATTCACCACAGTGTTTGCTTCATCCTCCGTTGACCACCTGACTGTGAAATGAAACCATTTGTTTTCCATTTGAAGGTATCAGCACTTCTCAGCATGTGTGTCTCAAGTGTTAGGACTGCTGCAATCGAAGGACCCTGACTCTGCAGCAAAGGTGCATTTGACACATTATTCTGTATATCTGTATTTAACCACTGCACAAATAGACACTAAAAGCGTCCGCGATGGCTAAAATGTGTCAGTTGTGTTTGATGGTTAATGTGGTGCAACTAATCATATGTGAAACTATGCAGTCACCACTGTCTTTTAGTGGTAATAGAGTGAGCCTTTTCGAAATAGAGCACAGTACAGCGACAGGAAATAACAGTGACAGTAAGTGACGGTACATTTTGAAGCATAGTTTAAAAAAACTATGCTCTGCCAATTTTCTTATTATGTGTCTGATTCTGTGTTTTCGAAAAAACTAAGCGCTATACAAATTATAAAAACATTATAAAACAAGAGTCAGCAATGTAGGCCAGTACCAAATTATGAAGAGCTTTAAAAACAAGTAGAATAACCCCAACATCTCTATAAAAAAAGATGTTATCATGATGGATGAATGATTGTAAAGATGATGTGCCATTCATCATGTTTCTCTTAAGAAAATGCTTCTATGCAAAAGAGCGGATTGTGTCTGTACAAACTCAAAGGTTAAGGTTAAGGTCAAAGTACTTTTTGATTCTATTAGAGGACAATAGAGCAACCACAGGAAATAAAGAGGAAGATGGGGGGGGTTGAGATGTTTTGCAGCATAGTTTAAAATAGCAGCGCTGCCCATGTTCTTGTGCTTAAAGGTTGTGTTTTTTTAAAAAGGCAGTAGGAGGATTATAAAAAAGGATAACAAAACCAGAGTGAGAAACGTAGGCAATTCCCAACCTATTGGGAGCTTTAAAAACAAGTAAAATAACCTTAAATATATATTGAAAGATGATGATAGAGGAACAGATGATATTGAAAGCCTTGAGCCGTTGGTGTTGTTTCTGTAATGAAAATGCTAAAATGGCTTCTTATGTTTAACTGCACATTTAACTTCTATTTTTTATTTATCTTAATATACCCAATTAATCGAGGATAACTAAAGTTTTCTGCATCTGATAAAAAAAATGATGTACAATAGTTAATTATTTAATTATAAGTTGTCAGTATTATTGCTAGAACTAACATTTAGTTTACATTTGATCTTGTGTTGTTTGCATTGTCTGCAGGTGCTGGAGCTCCTCCTGGCCATGTGCAGCGTCTCGGGGCTGCGTTCTCTGCTGTGTGAGGTGGTTTTCAAACCCGCCGCGCCCAAACTCAGAACAGCAGGCCGCAGGCAGGCAGACGGGCTGGACGGGGGACGCAAAACAGAGACGGGACTGGCCCTGGTGCAGTGGCTGAGCCTGCCTGTGGAGGGTGCCGAGTCCTGCTCCCTGCAGGCCCTGCAGCTGCTGAATGAGCTGCTGGAGGTACGGCAACTCTACAGGGACACATTTAATACTGAGAGGTTTGAGCCGGCAGCATGTTGTAGTGGTTTGACCAAAATCTAAAAAGATAGTAAGAGGAGTAGTACAGTGAAATTAAAACATTTAAAACAGTTCCTTAGCCATAATACTCCTTTCTACAGCAAAGCACTGAATTATGGTCAAACCAGTCAGATTAAAGCACAAGCAAGAACTCAAATTATTAGTAAGGGGCTTACCTTGGTTGGTTATTGGCTAATGGTTACACAAGCCAAAAAAATCGTTATGACATCATAAAGTGGCCAAAATCTGATCAGCTCATTTTCAGACAGGTTTTTATATAAATGGATCAGGACAAAAAGAGAGAGAATCTTTTTTCCTGAAACTTTCAGAATCTCTTTACACAGAGGGGACACATGTTTATGTATAAAAGACGTGAACAAGTGGATTTTGCATAATAGGTGACCTTTAAGAAAATAAGGCTGTTAATAACAGCTTAACATTTGATAATGGTTTCTCTTCCTCTCCATGCTATCTCCTCTCTCTGCGTGCAGGAGGCGTTGGGAGCGAAGAGTGTGTCTGAGTGTGTGCTGAGCTTCGTAGAAATGTTGCTACCCGTCCTGTTGGGGCTCCTGAGGGGCCTCGAAGCTGCGCAGGGGGACGCTCACCTCAGGAAACAGTGCCACCGCATCACACACGTCACCAGCCTGCTGCTCAATATCCTTCACATGGCAGTCTGCTCTGTATTTCTGTGTTGCTCTGTGTTGTGTTTGTTTTTAAAGCCTTAACTCCTGCACTCCTGTGTGCCGAGGACTCCACCAGGTGTCTGGTGTCCCGACAGGTGAGCGCTCAGCTCTGCCTCACGCAGGTCGAGTCCCTCCTCTCCTGTTGTCACAGCAACAGCTCCCTCAACTGCCACCCCCCCGGCTCTGACAATGATCTCAGGTTAGTGGCGGCTGCCGTTTTGAATCACAATTTTAAAATGCTTTATTTCGTGTTCATTTCATGAACAAAAAATGAGATTCATAATTGCAGTTTTGGTAGAAAGAGTTAAAGTTGTGTGTTCCAGTCAGGTGTATGCAGACGCTCTGCTGAAGACTCTGGAGTTAATGAGCAAACTGAGAGAGCAGGTGAAGGACATGGAGACCAGCTTCTACCGGATGTTACAGGTAAACACACACACGTTCAGTTTCCCTGAATCCAAGGTGACATTTCGAAATGTTTTTGTCCATCAGAAACTGTAGATATGTATTAATTTAGTCGGAACATGTGGTGGTTGACTGAGTTCAGGTTTCTGTGTTTTCTCTTTGCCCTCTCATTCTCTGTGTTTATCCTCCAGGACCAGAGGATCGTGACCCCCCTCTCTCTGGCGCTGACGTCCCACCACAGAGAGCGAGTCCAGACGGGACTCTCTCTGCTGTTTGAGGCCACTCCTCTTCCAGACTTCCCCTCTCTGGTGTGAGTCCCTTGCTGGAAAAAAAACATGTTTATTTTACTAATATGAAGCAGCTCAGGTTTATTAAACACATTTCATTAATCACCAAACAACATTCTGCAAAAATAAACTGAAAATAAGATCTTTCATTTATGATTTAATGCCGGGTTTTGGTTTTCAGCTTGTTGTAGCATCTTGTTGTTATGCGTGGATGCCAGTTACCTGTACTAATCCACCCATATTTCTCAAGTCTGGGAGAAAGTATGGCTGCCAACAACGCCTATCGCCAGCGGGAGTCTGAGCTGTCCGTCAAACGTGTCGCTGTGCAGGAAGGCCCGCCCTCCAGCATCCTTGACTCTTCTTGTGGATCGAGCAGGAGCGTCTACTGTCTGGCTGACAGGATACAGAACGGCTTAGAGGTGAAGTGTGTGTGTGTGCATGGTTCCTTTTTATAAACGACATATAATTAATACCGTAGCCAGCAGTTGCAACCTATAACTGTTTCAGTATACAAATAAAGTGATTGCCTCCAGAGTGAAAAGCATTATTCACTGACGTCCTGTTGTTGTTTGTAGCTGCAGGAACAGGTGAAGGACTCCCATGTGTCGGACATCATAGATGTTTATGAACAGAAGCTCTCAGCGTTCGCGGTCAGTATGTTTTATAATATTAAATTATATTTTTATATTAACATTTATTGTTTGGCTCAGTTTTTCCAACAGTTCTATCTCTCTGTGTCAGTCTAAGGAGAGTCGTCTGCAGGACTTGTTGGAGGCGAAGGCCCTCGCTCTGTCTCAGGCCGACCGTCTCATCGCTCAGTATCGCTTCCAACGAGCTCAGGCTGAGGCAGAGGTAAAACACACACACACACACACACACACACACACACACACTGGTACTCATGTTAAACAAGCCTTGCCCTTACGTTCCTCAGTTAAACCTGCAACTTTTTTGTAAGTAGAGCTGAAAGAATAAGTTGATTTTTCAAAAAGTTAATCGACAGAAAATTCATTTGCATCTATTTAGATGATTAATAAATCATTTCCCAGACTTATAAAGCAAAAAAAGGCAAACATTTACTCTCTTCCAGTCTCTTAATTGTGAGAATATTGCTGCTTTTTTACTGGTTTTTGTGATTTCCACCTAGGTTTCTTGCCGGATATCACAATGCTCAGAATTATCTTTATTTATACTTACTTCGAATGTGACATGCAACACCACAGAACTGGTCAGTTTCAGCATTAACAGCCTAAATGTTCTCATCATGGTTCTCTATGTGTTTCTGTGTGCAGGCCTGTAAGCTGGGCTGCCTGCTGAAGGAGGCGGAGCGTCGGCGGGAGGATCTGCAGTCGGAGCTGAGCGGCCAGGTGCTGGAGGTGGAGCGCTGCAAGGCCGACATGGAGGAGCTGCTGCAGCACAACGCCCGGCTGCAGAAGGACTCAGAGGAGCACCAGAGCCTCAAAGGAGCTTACAACGCGCTGCTCAACAGGTACGAGGCAGGACAAACACAACAGATTCATTCAGATTCAGAATATCTGCAGGGCTTGAAAAGTCTTTCAAAAAACATGTTACGTTCAAGACCTTTTCTTGTAACTTCTAAAAGTATTTAGATTTTTAGCAAAGGCTTAAATAAACTTAAAGCTTAAATTGATTAAACATTTTTTATAACTAGGCATTACTTTACTTTGATTTTTGGAAGTTCTGACAAATACATCTGATACAGATATCAATAAACTCATACACTTATTAAATAATTGTAAGCCTTCGTGTCTACTGGGGCGGAGTGTCGCAGTGGGTTGTGCGTTGATCATCAGATCAAGGGGGTGTTGGGGAACCCGCCTCCGCCACTGCGTCAGGCCATTGTGTCCTTGGGCAAGACACTTCGCCTGAATTTGCTCCTGTGGGTATTGTCCACAGTACATGACCGTTACATGTATGATATGTGTGTAATGTGTATTTGTAAAGCGCTTTGAGCTCTGGAAAAGCGCTATAATAAATATAAGGAATTATTATTATTATTATTATTACTGGGCTTTTTTTCAGGTTCATTTTCGAGCAGTACAACTGTAAAAAATAATTGAAATTATATGTGGTTTCGAAGTCAGGTCTTTAATTGATTTCATTACTTTCTTATAAATTAGTGAAATCAATCTATCAATTTTTAGCCACTTATCTGATTTGAGATTCATTATATTTCTAGGAATTACTGTATTATGCACTTGGGAAGTACTAACAAGATACAAGTAATAAGTATCAATAATTCACTTAAATATATTTGGAATCATCGTTGTATTGTAGTGATATATATTTTTTGAAGTTTTATTGTTTTATGTCTTATGTTGTTGGAGGAGCTCGGGACATAAGATTAGCCATTTCTACACTGTAGCTTATGTGCATATGACATTAAAACCTTTGAATCTTTGATTGTATTCGATGTGGTTTTATAATCTTACATTGAATTTGGTTTAAACAGAAACCCTGTTTTAGCCTCACATGTTTTTCTGGAATGTTCAGTCTCTTTAAGTACCTAACAGGTGGATCTGTGCAGGTTTAACGAGAGCGAGCGTCTGCTGAAGGAGCTGCAGGCCGCTCACATCTCGCTCACCAAACAGAGCGACACTCTGAGGAAGAACCAGGAAGCTCTGACACTGCAGCACGAAAAGTAACACACACTCACATCTGCATCTTTCTTCTCTCTCAAAGTTACTCCTAGAAGTTACCTTGTGTTCAAAGGTTCAGGTATTAGCACCCTCTCTAAATTCTGCGTGTGTCTCTCAGGATGGCATCAGTGTTGGAGGAGAGAGAGCAGGAGATCAGATCTCTCCATGCAGATCTACAGCAGAAGAACAGCGACATCACAGGTGGGTCTAACATTAACATCAGACAGCGTGTAAACACTGCATGTGCAAATCTGGGATTCCTTGAGTGTGTTTTTGTATCTCCTGCCGCGGAAATTGCATGAATATACTATTTATTATCCTATATATTCTTTTTTTTCCCCCAGGATTTCTCACCATAAACATACCTTACATTTCTTTTTAACAACAGAGCTGTAGAAATGATTAATTGTATAAAGCAGATTTGCCCCTATCTTTATTCCATATGCATTTGTATAACAGCAGGCAGTGGATGAACGTTTAGGTGTAAAAAACTGTAAACGATGCTACATAAAATCGGCACTGTTTCAAGTTGTGTGCACAAATCGAAAAGAAAAATATAATGTACGTAGTGGCAAAACAGTCTAATCTACTGGTTAGATTTGTTTATAAATAAATGCAAAATGTGAAAAAATAGGGCTTCTCTTGATCTAATCAAGTTAGCATAACATGTAGGGTTTTAAGGTTTAGACTATGTCTTTTACAGTGAGGTTTTTTGTTAATGATATTTGCAGAAAACGACTTTGTGTCAGTACAGGCAAATAGAAAAGCACACGGGTCCTCCTCCAGGTGTTATTACTATGTAACCAGAGCAGATTTGAGGAAAGCCTGGTAGACGTGGGATCTCAACTCCCAGCATTAATCCCTAATGCTTCCATGAATGTTGGTTCCTGTCAGGTCTGCGAGGTGCACTGCGGGCCGAGGAGGAGAAGATGAAGGAGAAGGATCAAGAGAGGAGAGATCTGGAGGAGACGGTGGACGTTTTGAGGAAAGAGCTGAACAAGACGGAGCAGGCCAGAAAGGACGCCAGCATCAAGGTGATTTTGATAAATCTGTCAGAAAGAGATATTCACCACGTCAGACTCAAATGTTGAGATGGATCTGTGTACACACACAGCTGTAGAGATTTGACGCTCCTCTTTTCTGAACCTTCCCTGTCTCTCAGGCGTCGTCTCTGGAGATGCAGAAGAGCACTTTGGCGACGAAGCTGAAGCAGAAGGAGGACGAGTTGAACAAACACTCCTCCATGATCGCCATGATCCACAGCCTGAGCAGCGGCAAGCAGAAGAACGACGTCAACCTGTCGCTCTGACCGCAAACAGCAAGCAGATGAGTGATATAGGAACATGATGGACTTTTTAAAACTTTATGGACTATGATTTAACATTTTTAAAACAAACACTTAATCAAATATACTAAACTAAGTGATATTAAATATTTGTATGTCTGTTTTTAATGTCTGGTAAATAAATGATGGATCTGTATTCTTGTTGGCCTCCTATCCCAGTATAATATGTGTTTGTGTGAACTTATATTATAAAACGGACAAGTAAAATAAAGCAATCTGATTGGTTCTTAGCCGTGGTATACTGAGCGTATACCACGGGTAGAATTGTAAGTTACTTTTCACAACAAGTCAGTATCCCTCCGCGTCTGAGATAAACAGTATACAGTTGGGCTGAAAAGCAAACTGCCTGCAGTTTGCTTTTCAAACTGGAACAAGAAAGCAGCGGAGAAGTAACAGGGCAGAAACCCTCCTTTTTACGCAACGGTCCAGACATAGACATCAAACGGCAAAAACATATTCAGTGTGCAGTTCCTTTGGCATTAGGGCAGGGATATTTAGATACTTTCCAAGGTTTGACATAATGAATTGTGCTACTTTTAAAGCAAGCAACGATGTTTTCAAATCTGTAATCAAAAAGGTCCGCAAAAACATTTAAGATTAACTTCGACCTCCGGGGGGGGGGGGGGGGGTCTTACTATGGAGGAGTGGATTGAGGAGTGCCTATCTCCAGAACAAAAAGCACCTAAACGACGACATGTAGAGCTACGTGAAGAGCAGGTAGACCAACTGGAAAAGTATCACCATTCAAAAGCTTTCTGATGCGGGTCTTGAAACAAAGCAGAGAAATGATGACCGTTAGTGGCCACAGGTGCGAAAGCTCTCTCCAGAGCTACTGGAAGCCGAATCTCGGGGACCGGAGAAAGTGGAGCAATATTCTCGCCACGCCAAGCAACAGCCTAGAACAACCTCAGCCTATACAAGTAACCACGTAAGCCATGCTACTGATGCTGGACAGTTTTTCAGTGGGTGCACAATAAACGGCAACATACACATTAATGTAAATAAATAGCCAAATAATGGATCAACGCTCTCTGTCTAATATGTTCGCTAGCTGTTGTTAGTGTTGTTGCATAGCAACCACCTCACACTATGTTTCGTGCAGAAGGCAACAGAGGGACTATTTTATTTTGAACATCATTATTTACTAATAAAAACTATTTAAATTAGAGTGTGTATTTTTCTTTCATATTGCCACACTTGGTAACCGTTTTATAAAAGCAATAGCTCACTTCAGGCCGTGATATATGCTCATTATATCACAGCTAAGGGGGTTGTCGACCCTCCGCTTCGCGTCGGGCCGAACCACGCCCCTTAGCTGTGATATAATGAGCATATACCACGGCCTGTCGTGAGCTATTGCTTAATTATACATTTTTTTAAGGTTACATGCTTACTAGAGCCAAATCTTTTCTTTATAAGTCTTACTTCTGGGATTTGTTTGGTGCATTTCTATTTTTTTTATCTCCTGTTGAGGAAATTGCATAAATGATTTCACGTTTGCTCAAAGATAACTTCCACATCAAGTCCACATTTTTACAGGTAAAATGCTAACTGTAGCCAAAATATATGTATGCTTATAGTGGGTGTTTCTCAATGTCGAGGACGCTTCCTTGTTAGGACATGTCTTCCGACTCACTTCCTTCAGAAGCTAGGCAAGAATCCTTCATGGCATTCGGAAAACGAAGAGTGGAACAGGCGAGCAAGTGTGCAGGTGTGCGTCATATGAGAGGCCCCGCCTTAAAGTTTCCGCCACAGATTTTGGGAAATTGGTCCGTGCGCAAAGCATTGTGGGGATTTTAAGACCGCAGAAGATACACATGTGCAGCCTCGAAATTTCTCGCTACGAAGGACGCCGGGCTCGGTAGAATTCCAAGTATGCTGGACATTGGAACAGTCCTTCGGCGGGACTCGATGACGTAGCATCCTTGAAATAGTGGCTCTGGAGCATCCTTCCTTGACATTGAGAAACACCCAGTGTCCCCTACCCCTTAATATATCAGATTTAATCCCATATGTTATTTTATCTTTCTTTTTCCAGTAAGGAGGACAAATAATAGTTAATAACTTTTAAACTTGAGCACTCTTACATTTGAGAATTTATATTAAGTTAAGTTCATATTAGAGTTTATTTGTCTGACACATTCAGGGGTTTGGGTGGGTTTGTGAACAGTTTACCCTTTTACATTTACAATTTAAAGAAGACAATAATGTAAATAATAATGTTCCACAGATTCTGAGGTAAGTACGAACATGCATGCTTTTGACTTTGTCTTGAGTTTCTGTGTGTGCAAAAAGCGAAGGAAAGAAACAACGAGACCAAAACTGTCCTGTGGACTTTTAAAACAAGAAAACTATATCATTCAGTTAATGTTATTTTTGACAGCATTTGATATTCCTCTAATGTCACATGCAAGTATACAACTATAAAGCAGTTTAAAAACAGTAAAACACAAGACAAAATAAAACCACAAACAATTTAAAACCATATAAAGTTATACAACACTGAGCAAAAAAGCTACATATGAGAACAAGTTAGATAAATATAGAATAACTAATAAATAAAAGGTTAGGCTCTAAATATAGATAAATAGGTTTGAGAAGTAAAGTAACAACAAATATGAATGATATATTATATCAGAGTAATTATATGATTGATTTATAATTCAGGCTACAAATCCCTATGGAAATAGTAGGAAATTAACTTGAATGTAATAATAATAATAATAATAATAGATTACATTTGTATAGTGCCTTCCAAGGGACCCACGGCCGCTTTTACATGGTGAACAAACAAACAAACAAACAAATAAACAAAAGGGGCAAATAATAAAGTCACATTTAGATCAGAAGCTCGGCTCTTTGTTTTGTAACTATATCTAACCTCCCTCCTGTTTCCCGTACAGTCTCTCTCTCCGTCTCTCTCCCCCCCCCCCCCCCTCTCTGTTTTCTATTTTCTCTCCCCTGTGTTCCTTCAGCTGCTGCCTGTCCGTCACTCTGCAGGCTGGGTTTCGGGGGGTAAAATCTCTGCGAGCTTCTTCTCTGCAGCAGTCGGCCATGAAGCTCCAGCCTGCCGCTCTGATCTCCGTCTTCCTCCTCGCTCTGCTCTCAGCTGGTGAGTTTGACATTTCACCCACACATTTTTATAGTAAAACTGCTTTTATCCAAAGGTTGAGTGAATTCAAGTTTAATTGATGTGAGTTTTTGAAGGCCCATACTGACTATCGTAGTATTAAAGCAGCATATACGCAGTCGAAAATATTTATTTGATTTAATTTCTATGCTAAACCACCATTTTCTTCGATCCCCCCCCCCCCTCAATTATTTGCTCAACGGTTAGAAAAAGTTGAAATGTTTTAAAATGTATACATACACCATTTTTTTGTTCCCCTTAAATGCTTTTAAGTTTAATTATAATGTAGGACAAACTAACTCTCCTCTAAAATGTTGTTGTTTCAGCTCTTTTCAGGGAAATTATAAACAGTTTAGGAGTCATTAGTTGATTAAATAAATAAGTCAATCAACAAAATGAATCGTCAACAAATCTGAAAATTTAGTATTTGATTTAGGTCATTTTTAAAAAGCAAAAATGCCAGTAATTCACTTGTTTTAGCATCTCAAAGGTAGATATTTGATAGTTTTCTTGATAGACTGTTTTTATAGTTGAGTTAAACATCTTTCAAGTAAAAAATGTCTCTTGTAAATGTATGAGTTTGACATATACCATTTATATCTGAAAGAATGTTTTATATTTGAACCCTAGAGCCTTTTTTTCAATAACTTTATAATCTCAAAGAAGATATACAGTTCGATCTCTATTGAGTTTTTTTATGTAAATGTAGGCTTAAGGAACCTCTCGGTGGTGTTACAGCAGCAGTGTAGTATTCTGAACACAGAGCAGCTGCCATCACGAAATATGACCGGCGTGAAAGTATTCACACACTCCCCGACCCCGTTTGTTTTCTAGAGGTGGAATGTAACTAAATACATTTACTCAAGAACACATTCAATGTCCTTGAATATTTCCCTTTTACACAGCGTTATACTTCTGCTCCTTTACTTCTTGTTCTTGTTCTTCTTAAGCTAAATATAGTTTACAAAAACATCAGCTGGAAAATGCATTGTCACAAAGCTGAAAACAGGGCTGTTGTTCTGAGACACTTTGTAAAGATAAGTGTTTCTCCTAGCACAAAGCCACAAACATTTTTACAGAATATGATGCATTTAACAGTTTATAAAGGATTTAGGTTTGTAAAATGCTAAGAAGCATGTGAATAAAGTCTGAAGATGTATGAACACATTTCTGAATAATTATCTTCAAAAGTTCATTGAAAAATGTCAGAGAATTGAATACAAAATGATACCTAAAGGACCTGAAGATTAAACTAGGCCACAGTATATAAATGAGTTAAAAACAACTAAATGAAGCCTACATATTGATTTAGCATTAATATTAATCCTAGAGCATTATATGCTAAACTACATTTTGCTGCTAATATCGCATGTTCCTAAAGATGAAGGTGGATTTTTTTGGATTCATAACTCTAGTAGTTACTGGTGTTTTTCTGACTTTAATGTGAATTATGAGTGTTAAACTGTGTGTGTGTGTGTGTGTGTGTGTGTGTGTGTGTGTGTGTGTGTGTGTGTGTGTGTGTGTGTGTGTGTGTGTGTGTGTGTGTGTGTGTGTGTGTGTGTGTGTGTGTGTGTGTGTGTGTGTGTGTGTGTGTGTGTGTGTGTGTGTGTGTGTGTGTGTGTGTGTGTGTGTGTGTGTGTGTGTGTGTGGGTGTGTGTGTGTGTGTGTGTGTGTGTGTGTGTGTGTGTGTGTGTGTGTGTGTGTGTGTGTGTGTGTGTGTGTGTGTGTGTGTGTGTGTGTGTGTGTGTGTGTGTGTGTGTGTGTGTGTGTGTGTGTGTGTGTGTGTGTGTGTCCGAGTGCTCGTGCAGGAACGAGGAGGAGCGTCTGATCAACTTCCTGATTACAGAGCAAGGATACAACAAAGAGCTGCGACCCGTAAAGAGGCAGCAGGATGTCGTCGATGTTTACCTCGCCCTCACACTCTCCAACCTCATCTCTCTGGTACACACCGTGTGTGTATTTGGTGCTAGTCACATGCTGGATTTGAGCGTGCATTATAGGTTTATTTAACTCAAAGGCATAATCTCAATAGAGACACTCAAATCCCACATAAGGATTTGGAACTGGAGCTGCCAATGAATTATCAATAAACAGAATACATATTTGACATCTATTTTTATAATCGATTAATCGTAAATTCCATGCAAAATTGCTTGAAAATACTGTTTTCATCCTCTAGTGTGAATATTTCAAGATTTTCTTTGTTTTCATATCGTATTAAAGTGAACATAATATATAAGACAAAACTGGAGTTGGGGATTGCACGCATTTCTTATCCAAAACGTAATTCATATTATCAAATATAGTTACTATGAAGCAGAGGTGGGACCAAGTCATTGTTTTGCAAGTCCGAGTCAAGTCTCAAGTCTTTGCGCTCAAGTCCGAGTCAAGTCTCAAGTCTTTGCGCTCAAGTCCGAGTCAAGTCTCAAGTCTTTGCGCTCAAGTCCAAGTCAAGTCTCAAGTCAGGATGGGAAAGTTTAAGTCAAGTCCAAGTCCTAAACTTTGACAAAACGAGTATTAAACAAGTCCTTATGTGCTTTTCAACAAATGTAAGGACATCGATCAACAGAATAATACTTAATAATCAAACTGCTCTTTATTAGTCACATTAATCATTTAATAATCCATTTTCTCTCTGCTGGTAAAGTCACGTGTTTTCTTCTATTGTAAGAGGGATCAGTAAGGTAATGCTACGGTTTGATTCAGAAGGAGTTTAATGTACAAGATCCCTGATGTTGAGGTGACCAGAATGTTTATTTCCACTGTGTACAGCATGTTATAAGGGACCCACAATCTATCTTTATGCAAGGGATAATGTGCAGCGAGGCGTCTCTATGGGGAAAAGAACACCTGAATCTAGATCCCTCTGCAGGTGGTACTTTAAGTATATTTTGATGCTAATACTTTTGTACTTTTACTTGAGTAACATTTTGAATGCAGGATCTTTTATTGTAACCGAGTATTCCTACACTCTGGTACTGTTACTCAAGTACAAGATCTGAACTTCTCCCACCTCTGGCAATAAATCCTGAGTGGTTACCAAAAAAAAAGGTTATTTTCATTTTTACAAATCCTGCACTCAGCTTTGCTTTCTCCAATATCATTGAAATGCAGCCAGAAGCTGCTTCTTTTTTCGGTTTTCGCTCATTTCTTGACTTTTTCCGACGCGCTTGCATTTAAATCCGTTTCCCCGTCTCCCCGTCGCTCTGTGCAGCTGGCCTGTACCACTACACCTGCTGTCTTTGGAGCGTCTGCCCCCCACCCTTCTTTCACATAATGGTATGATCCTAGTGTGTCCTCGCATATGATTGGCCGCATGGTGGCTCAGCAAAATAAAGACCCGCCCCTGCCTGCATGGATTCTCAGCAAGAGTTGCAGCGGCTGAAGATTCTGCTCTCCCCGACGGGAGTCTGCTCTTCTAGCGGCATCTCGCGATCGGCGTGTTGGAGACCCCTGAATTAAATTATCAAGTCACCTCAAGTCAGAAGGCTCAAGTCCAAGTCAAGTCCCGAGTCATTGGTGTTCAAGTCCAAGTCGAGTCGCAAGTGTTTTGTGATTTTGTCAAGTCGAGTCCAAAGTCATCAAATTGGTAACTCGAGTCTGACTCGAGTCCAAGTCATGTGACTCGAGTCCACACCTCTGCTATGAAGCCTATTTGAAAAAATATATTTAGTTTTTGATATTCCAGTTTACTGAGTAGAAGTCTGAAAAATGTCAGAGAAGAAAAGTTTGTTCTGTTCTAATATTATTACATTTTTCTATTTGTAGAAAGAGGTGGACGAGACTCTGCTGACAAACGTATGGATAGATCATGTAAGAAATGATATTCTGTCACTTTATGTTGAATGCCTGCATCTCTGTCTCTACTTTATCTGATGTTTTCTGGTCTAATAACTAAGGATGTGTGTGTGCTGACAGACGTGGGATGACTTCCGCCTTGCATGGAATGAGACAGAGTTTGACGGCATCGCGGAGCTGCGTCTGCCTTCCAAAATGTTGTGGCTGCCGGAGATCGTGCTGGAAAACAAGTGAGATTTCCCCCTTTTTTTTTGTAATATAAATGAAAAAATCACAAATTTAAAAGAATAAAAAATAAAAATATTCAATGAGATTATAAGATAATTAATTTGCGAGAGAAAATTTGTTATTTCTAGTGTTAAAGTGGTAGTTTAATGAGAGAAAAACTATTCTCTAGGATGAAAGTAGTACATTTCCTAGAAAAACTGGATTTTCTGACATTATGAAATCATGGATCTCTCTAAGTGGTTTGGTTTCTGATTTTTTTTTGTGCAAATTATGACTTTATTCATTAACCATTTACTTTCATTTTCATAAATGTACCTCTTTCTAGGTTGCAAAGTCTGGTTTTGTCTTGAAAATGGGCTGAATGTCAAATTTTAGATGCACTTCTAGAAGAGAGCCCACATGCTAGTTTTGACAGAGCTTTAATGAGACATAACCATCTCGACTCATACATGCTTTCGAACATATCAAATGAGTTGCCGTTGACTTGTACACATTTTAATTTAGTTTATCAGGACTTAAAGAGCCTCCTGTCTATGTAAACTCCACGATATGACTGAAAGCTCCAGAATAGCTACTTAATGGACGTTCAGTTTAAATTGGTAAACTACAAATTATTCAATTTCCATACATTACATTCAGCCAACGTTGTGTTTTGATTTGTCTTTCTCCTCCAGTAACGACGCCCAGTTCGAGGTGGCGTACTACAGTAACGTGGTGGTGTATTCCAGTGGTCTCTGCTACTGGTTACCGCCCGCCATCTTCCGCTCCTCCTGCTCCATCAACGTCAACTACTTCCCCTTCGACTGGCAGAACTGCACGCTCAAATTTGTGTAAGACGCCTAAACCACACAGTGTCACGGTAACAGCTTTACAGGAATCCTGGTATATCGAGACAACTTGTCGCAAATGTCGCTTTTGCAAGTTTAATCTGCATTTGTTAAGGAAAAACTGCTAGGTTCGCATGTTTAAGATCAGGTTATCTGATTTTCAGAATATTGTAGACTAGACAATAAGTTTTGAACTTTCTAAATAAGTGAACATCAGGATGTATCTCATTGTTTGATTCTAAAGGTGCACACATTCACCAAACTATCTCAGAAAGCTCAGCCTCTAAACCTCAAATCATAATCTTACACCAAGATACTGAGGAACTCTTAACTAATATATTTAAACCAAGAAATCACAAATATGAACATGTTGACCAGACATTTGTGCATCGAAAATGCTTTGTGACTTTCTTTTTAGTCGATACATCTAATACATGTTTTCTTTAGGCTATTGCTTATCACATTGTATCTTACACTGTCATTACCCATGTTGCTTTGCAGCTCTCTGACCTACAATGCCAAAGAGATCAGGATGAATCTTAAGCAAGAGTGGTCCGAAGACGGAAACACTCTCTTGTACTTGGTGGAGTGGATCATCATCGACCCTGCCAGCTTTACAGGTGAGTGTCCTTCACATCTGAATCTCATCATTTCATAAATAATAAACCAGCGAGAGATTTCACCTAAATATCTTTTGTATATTTTATTTGTAAGTATATCTGACGTCTTTTGTTTGGTTTGCACTGTAGTAAAAAATAAATAAATAGTGATAATAGTGGTTTGAATAATAAAAGAAACACATATTTAAAAAAACCACAACTTGTTATTGAACAACTGAAAATTATGAAATAGCACAATATCCTCTCTCTTTTTCAATTGATTTTAATGTTGTTAATTATGTGCAAGAGATCCTGATGTTCATTTAAAATATGTTTGGTATCTACTGATGTAAATGATATTAAAAAAACAAAAACGTTTTTGTTCACAAAGCCCCCCTCAGGTTTAAAAAATATCCCATTTCCAATCTCTATCATGTGAACCTTATTCAATGTCTGCTTCACGTCCTTTATGCTTTTTGCTGTTTTTGGACAGAGAACGGTGAGTGGGAGATTAACCACCGCCCGGCCAAGAAAAACACGTACAAACACATCCCCATGGAGAGCAACAAGCACCAGGACATCACCTTCTACCTGATCATCAAACGCAAGCCGCTATTCTACATCGTCAACATCATCATCCCCTGCGTGCTCATCTCCTTCCTCGCGTCCCTGGTCTACTACCTGCCGGCTGACAGTCAGTTATATTATAATACGTTTAAATGAATCAAACTCACTGTTGAATTAAAACATTTGATGGGAACATGCATACAAAATGCTTTTTTTTTCACTTGGCAGCAAGTTTTAGTTTTATATTGAGATACATATTCTTCTTTTTTGTTATTTCTAGGTTCTGATCTTTTAAGAATGTAGAAATCTATATTGTTTATTAATTAATTCAAATGCTGTAATGTCAATTTGTATTGATTGATGAATTAACATCATCATCATCCCCTGGCTTCACTCTTATACCTTCCTCTTGACATTCAGTAATAACAATAATACATCTAATCATACAGAGCTTTTCTAAGCAGTCAACCCCCACAATAAAATAACATTTCATATTGGCATAGATTCAACAATAAGTGCACATTCACTGCTTTTAAATTGCTTTTTTTCTCACCTCCTGCAGGAAGTTTTAGTTTTATATGGAGATTATTGGAAAGTAGATGGAGAAGTTTGTTGGATTCTGAGGAACCTATTTACATTTTTTGTTATTTCACTGAACTGACCGTGTCTGTCTGTCTGTCTGTCTGTCTGTCTGTGTAGGTGGTGAGAAGATGACCTTGTCTATCTCCGTGCTGCTGGCTCAGTCTGTCTTCCTGCTGCTGATCTCTCAGAGGCTGCCAGAGACTTCTATGTCTGTTCCACTTATTGTCAAGTAAGCAACACTCACTTGGTTTTTTCCTTTTTTGAAATTATCTTTATTTTATTTTAATTCAATTTCAACAAACCTAGAAAGTAAGGCATTAACAGTTACAAGTCATTACTTGTAAATGATGCCCATCCAACCATGCAAATTGAAGCCATGTAGTTCCTGCAACAAAAATACATTCTGAGTTTTCACATATATTCGATTTCTAAGCATTGTCTCGTCTCAGAATAGGTCCATGTTTTTCTTATTGCATATGTATGAGTTTAAACTAAATATTCAAGTTTTTCTTTTGCAAACTTGTGACTTCAATCATCAGTTTTTTCCTCTAAAAATGATCCCCTACCTAGTTTATGATAATTATTTGTAACCCAAACTGCCCCTCATACTTGTTGATCTGTGTGTGTGTCAGATACTTGATGTTCATCATGGTGTTGGTGACGGTGGTGGTGTTGAACTGTGTGGTCGTCCTCAACCTGCACTTCAGGACCCCGAGCACACACGTCATGTCTGATTGGACCAAGAAGGTAACACACACACACACACACACACACACACACACACACACACACACACACACACACACACACACACACACACACACACACACACACACACACACAACCCTCAACCTAACCAAGTCTTCACCCTAAAATTAATGATTCCTGAAAAACATTAAAATCTCAACAGCTTGTGTTAACCACAGACCTTATTTCAGTCTTCTAAACCAAAATGCTAAAAACTATTGAATTTCAGATGTGGAAACAGGAAGTGCTAAAATGCTAACTCATTCCCAGGTTTAGGACTCATTCCTGCACCCCTCTACAGTATGCACATTACCTTGGCTTTAAAATGTTGCTTTTTTCTTTCCTGCAGATTTTCCTCGAGCAACTGCCTCGCATCCTTCACATGTCCCACCAGACCGCGGCGGAGCCATACTGGGATGGAGCGTTGCCACGGCGAACCAGCTCTGTGGGCTACATCGCCTCGGCGGAGGAGTACTACAGTGTGAAGTCTCGCAGCGAGCTGATGTTCGAGAAACAGTCAGTGAGGCACGGACTGATAACCCGCGCCACACACTCATCAGGTACCGGCAAAAGTGTCAATGAATTTCAACGGTGGAATATTTTATTCATTTTATTCGCAAACAGTTGAAAAAACAATTGTTATACAGAATTGAGATATTTAAAGAGGGAACTCCGATCAACTGTCTTGATCAGGATGCTTCTTAAGAATTGAGAATAAAAAAGAGCAAAAATGTTATAAATATTCATGTTTTATACAGACACATTTACAAGCTTAAAACACCTGACACTAACCCAGGCATGGGCAAACTAAGGCCCGCGGGCCATATACGGCCCGTTGGGCTTTTTAATCTACCAATCGAATATTGGTACAAAATTGTCCAAATTATAGTAAAGACCGCATTCATTTTGCCTTTTTCCTGCAATACCCGGCATTTCAGTTGATCCCACTAGATGGCGCACTCTAGACACAAATTACCTTTGCTGGAGTCGGCAACCCGGCAAGATCTAAGAACCAAATACGTCACGCTTACAGTCCTCTATTGATGTTGTTGTGAGCGGTGTTGCGGAGAAAATCAGTGACGTAAAACGCCATGTGGGTCATAAGAAGGCACGTAAACGGTTACGTCATGACGCAAACGATGACGCAATGACGCAATAACTCAGTGGACAGCTAAATATTTTTTCACCGATCTGCTACTGGCCCGGCCCGTCTGTTACATTTTAAAACTCATAGTGGCCCCCGAGCCAAAAAGTTTGCCCACCCCTGCACTAACCCAATGCCTAAAACTACTAACTACATTCGTTTCATCAGTCTTAAACATTGTTTAAAACCAGGTAAAATATAGTAAACAGATATCAAATGGAACAGATGAAACAAAAAATGTATTTCAACTTGTTTAGACATGTAGTGTATTTAAGCTCTGACATATCTTAATAACAACTGCCACCTTAAGCTGTTTTAAAAGACTGAAATACATATATGGTGAAATATAAAAAAAGATTTGTACACTGTGAAAAGCGCTATAATGTGTGTTCACCCCATGGTTAACCAAAGGATGCTACGTTCTCACCCCTTTATTAATCCCTGTGTGTGTGTGTGTGTGTGTGTGTGTGTGTGTGTGTGTGTGTGTGTGTGTGTGTGTGTGTGTGTGTGTGTGTGTGTGTGTGTGTGTGTGTGTGTGTGTGTGTGTGTGTGTGTGTGTGTGTGTGTGTGTGTGTGTGTGTGTGTGTGTGTGTGTGTGTGTGTGTGTGTGTGTGTGTGTGTGTGTGTGTGTGTGTGGTGTGTGTGTGTGTGTGTGTGTGTGTGTGTGTGTGTGTGTGTGTGTGTGTGTGTGTGTGTGTGTGTGTGTGTGTGTGTGTGTGTGTGTGTGTGTGTAGTTGTGAAGCCTCAGGCTGAAGACGGGGTGACGGATCAGCTGTATGCGGAGATCAAGCCGGCGGTGGACGGAGCGAACTACATCATCAAACAAATGAGGAACAAGAACGACTTCAACGAGGTGAGACGGTGGGGACGAAAAACTCCTCTCTCTTTCTGCCCTGTTCTCTCCATCCCTCTGCCCCCCCCCTCGCTCATACTCCCTCTTTCTTGCTCCGTCTCCTTCTAACCCTCCCTCCGCCTCTTTTTATCTCTCCCTCTTTTCTTTTTCTCTGTCTCCTAGCCCCCTCTTTCCTTTTCTCTCCACCTCTCTCCCTTTCCTCAGTTACTCTCCAACTTTCTTTTGTTCCGTTCCCTCCCTCCTTCTCTCCATTTCTCCGACTCTCTCTTTTTCCCCTACTCTCCCCCGTTTTCTTTTCTCACACTCCCTCTGTCTTCTGCACCCCCACGTACCTTCCTCCCTCTCCCCTCTCTCTCTCCCTCGCTCTCCTTCTCTCACTCTACCTCCTTCTGTCTCTCTCTTGGTCTCCCAGCTCTCCTTTAGGCTATATATAAATCCAGCATGTGATGTTCTCTCTTTATCTTGCCCCCCCCCCCCCCCCCCCCCATCTCTCTCTACTTGTATGTAAAACCAGCACCTGACGCTCCCTATCTCCCCCTCTCTCTCCACTTGTATATGAACCCACCCCCTGACTCTCCCCCTCCTCCCCTCAGGAGAAGGACAACTGGAGCGGTGTCGCCCGAACGGTGGACCGTCTGTGTCTCTTCTTGGTTACCCCGGTGATGACCATCGGCACCGTCATCATCTTCCTCATGGGCGTCTACAACATCCCACCCCCCCTGCCCTTCCAGGGAGACCCCTACGACTACAGCGAAATAAACCCTCGCCTGCCTTAATAGCCGTGTGACTTAAATATGGAGTGAATAACTTAATTAGTATATTACTATTTCAATAATTTTGTTTGTGTGATTTGAATAGAAATGTTCACTAAAATCCTTTAATATTATTTTTGTCTTTGTTAAATGTTAAGAAGCCCTCAGACGCTGTTTCTTGCAGCCCCTCGTTACCGGGGGCATGGGGCTTAACTGGTTAATGAAGTACGGCATGTTTTATAATCCGGTTTAAAATGTGGTTTTACAGTTTCAAGAGAAAATAAGAGATTAGTATTTTTCAGCCATAATGTAGGAAACGATGGAGGCTACAACATGTCATAAGAAGATCTAATAACCCTTATACACCCGGTGAATAGGGTAAAAAAGATAACTAATAGATATCACCGTGAGACTTCCTACCTGGTTACTTACATAACATTACGTTTTCTGAAATATGCAAACGAGGCATGTTCTCATTAATTTGTGCTAATATGCATACATTACCGTAACAGAAATGTGAACATTGGATAAATTCAGGTTAAGAATTCTTGTTTTATTTTGTTGACACATTATAGTCAAAGGTTTTTGCAGAGGGGGATTCTGGATTTTCCTTCATATCACTCCATAAATGTTAAATGTATTGTTTCTTATTTTTTAAATAGTTGCCAGAGGTTTGAACCCATCACACAAAACATTACTTTTACCAATAAAATCAACGGAGACAAGAGGCAATAATTCCAAGCAAATATTATATATAAGTTGAAACCAAAAAAACAATAATGAAATACTAAAATGTAGAGAAACTTCACAGGCAGTACCACAGTTTAACACTTCAACAAACCACCCAAATAAATACATATCTCATGGAGGTTGGAATATTATCAAAAATACAAAATTAACCCCATCGCTAACAGTGAGAAGCTAATTGAAACATCACAATCTCAGGGCCTTTTATGTCATTTTAAAGCCCTTTTTAGCTGCTAAAGTGTATACAGTCACAATGCCTTCATTTCAATGTATTAGCACCATAGTTAACTACTTCCTGCATATATTAAAAATGTGTCTGATAACTTTAACACCTTCTTATCTGACTTGTGCTTTTTACAGACCAGACATACTTCTATTGTAGTCAGACATCCTCTGTGAGTCTATTTTTATAACTTCTTCTTCACCGTTTAGTCTCAAGACATAAGTAAGAGTAACTTGCTCTACTTCATGACCCGGAGTCCTTCAAGAAAAGCATATTGTAGTCAGAGCTTTGAAAACATATTGGATAGAAACTGGAGGACAAAAAGGTGGTGTTCACAAAACCAGAGCACATCCAAGTTCATCCTTTGTGGAGAGGATTGTTTGTCTTGAGCTCTTTTAGTTTTACTGCTCGTCTTCTTTTTATTAATCGGCTTCAGTTCGTGTGATTCTCCTGACTCTCCAGGTGCTTTCCTGCTCCAGAAACATACGGAAAAACAAATTGACAAGTAATGACAAAGTTAATGGCCTTTATTTTTGTGAATTGAAGTCAAATTGCTGCAATTGATAACAATAGTGATATTCATTATCATTAGTTTTGTTTATCTCTCTTCATGTATAGAGGTATTTACCCATGTACATTTAACTCCAAGGAAATGGGGTTTGAAGCCTAAACTAAATTGCTGATTTAAACACCTAATCTTTTAAAAATGTAAAGGATACGAAACAAAACTGAAGTCAGAATGTGATGTTACCTTATACAGTATAGCAGCATACAAACAGCTACTGCAATAGCAATGGGTGTAATCACCACAATTCTGCGTTTTAGATTGGATAAATTCCCTGAAAGAGAAAAAAAGTATGTTATGCTTAAAATGTTCAAGAAAATTTAAAATGTACTATTTCGGTCTTATTTCTAATTTGTTCTCTATCTTAAGTTGATTGCAACTTCTTTCTATTCCTTATTTAAGAACATTTGATAAGTATGTTTGTTTCCTGCATTCCTGATATTCCACCATTTTGGAGCTAGAAATTCAAACAGGTGTGTTTTTGTTAAGTTCTTCCTCACAAACTAAGATATAAACATATCTTACCTTGACTCTGCTCTATTCTCAGGAAGGTGTTGGTCACGTATGTCCCCTCAGCATTACGGAGCTCACAGGTGTATTTCCCCTGGTGATCTGTTGATAAATCCTTCAGTGTGAGGTCTCCGGACTTAGACACACTCTTCACCTGCTGCCTCCACTTCTCCATCACTGACTCATCACTCACAATGATCTGACTGTGGTTGAACCTCCAGATGAGGCCTGTTCGAGGACTCTTTGAGGAGGTGCAGGACATTGTTGTTCCTGTGCTGGAACCACTAAGGAAAGCTGAAATGATAGAGCACAAAAAGTGAGAGTAGCGTTTGTTCGGACTGTCAATCCGAATTGAGCCGATTAAACTGCTGAATCAGATTGGCAAACTTCAAACAATGAGCTTATTTTACAAGATTTTTTACATTTCTCCATTCTCTATCTGACGAAACAAGATAAAATGTCTGGTATTTCTTATCAAACATTGGTTTCAGATTCAGTGTCTATAGCAACACCTACTTAGTTTAACCAAAGTGGCTGCCCTCTTGTTTCTGCGCGTGCTGACGGTGCAGATGTAGTTCACATCAGTAACTGTGACGTTCAGAGAACTGCTGATGTTATACAGCTTCTGCTCAGTCTGATGGACCGAGGTTTTGTTGTGGAGGGTCTCGTTGGGTGGGGGGTCAGTGGACCAGGTGAGCTGAGGCTCAGGATAGATCCCCTCTGAGCTGCAGGTGGTCTTATTTTCTGCTTGCTGAATGTCCACTTTAAGAACTGGAGCTGGAAAAAAAAAAAGACGGCAAAAAGGATTTTCTTTATGTGTAATTTCAGTCATTTTAAAAGGGGTGACATACGCTTATTTATTTCCAAAAAAAGCATATTTAAAACGTTTCTCTTATGTCAATATGGATTTTAAAGCAGGTCCATTTGTATTTAACAGCAGTTAAACATGAGGACTACAATTTTATATAGAAATAATTGCTAAAAACGTGGTAAAAAATGAAATGGATAAAGGATTTAACAGGCCTTTTATTTCACTTTTTTCTATAGAATTGTTAAATATATATTCATGGCTGATTTGCAATGAACATTGTAAGTTTCCCATAAGATTGTAAGACAAGAGACTAATGAAGGCTGTGAGAACACAGTCAACATTTTACTTTATTTCTTTCTAAAATGGAGTGACTAAAACAAATGGGAAGAATTGCATAAAACATGATGCGCTCTAAATAATGTTTCTCATACCGTCCACTTTTAGTTTGATGAATGCCTCATCAGAGCTGCCTCCTTCGATGCTGGCGTAGCATCTGTATGTGCCTTCATCCGGAATCTCCACTCTTTCCAGTTTCAGCGACACGTTTCCTCTAAAAATCTGATCCCTGAACAGTGCCGTCCTGCCTTTGAAGCGTGGGTCCTGGTACTCAAACTGGTCCTGGTTGTGGTAAAAAGAGTGGACTGTAGTGTCTTCTGTTGAAACCTGTTTCCAGTGGATGACCACACCCTCCCTGAGATCAGCCTCAAAGATGCACGGTAAGATGCAGCTCTCATTGAAAACACAGGATACCTTCTCTGCAACAACTGGTGAAGAGACATGCATCAAATGTTAGTTCAGCCAAAATGTCATCGGATTATTCATGTTTTTGTTTAGTTAGATTCACTAAATAACTGAATATTGCCTGTAGAAACATTTTGTCAGACCTGTAGGGAACCTCTAAGGTGACCTGCATTAAAACAACATAAAAGTAACATTGCTAAGAATACTAAATTAAAAAAGCTTTTAGCGAAGATAGAGGATGGAAGTAAAAGCCGTTTCACAAGATATTAATGCATTTATAATTATATTCCTTTATTAGTAGTAAACTACAGTAGTAATAATTCATATTACAAAGGCATATACACACACACACACACACACACACACACACACACACACACACACACACACACACACACACACACCTTCTAGTGTTGGAATTTTTGTTTTTCCTTAACCAAGAATGCTGTATCAGGAATGATGAGCATGCTGCAGGTTGAAATACAGGCTCTGCTAATTGCTGTTACATTCATAACCCAGGAATGTACTCAGCCTGTGTGTGTGTGTGTGTGTGTGTGTGTGTGTGTGTGTGTGTGTGTGTGTGTGTGTGTGTGTGTGTGTGTGTGTTGCTCCTCCAGAGGATATGTTGAAATGTATCTGACTAATATAACCAAACTATCTGAATGACTAGTTACCATGTTTATTTGCAAAGTTTTAACTCGAAATTAACTTTGATTCATTTTCTGGTATTCCATCTTCCTCATGTTTTAATTTAGTTGAATTAATTGACATTTGAGCAGTCAGTGTACTGTACAGCAGCATAAAACAGATGATCACACTGAATGTTAATACTGAAATGTTTAGTTCATGCAGCAATATTATAAAGTTCGCAGCATAAATAGATAATTTATTCAACAATTTAAGAATAGTGAGCAAAGATCGAAGTTCATGTCTTTAAGGACTTTTGGTCATCATAAATTCATTTGCCTAAGAGGTAACCATGACAATGTATTCAACAGAGTTCAAACATGCCTTTTATTTCTGTTTCAGACTGGAATAAGACAAGCAGTAAACACTTCACTCACCTCCTCTGGCAAGACTCTGCAGAAAGGTCAGAACCCCCAGAAACACGACACGTTTCATCCTCGTCCACTCATGTTAAACTCCCTCAGAGGAAAGTGTATTCTGTCCTGCAACGGAAATGATTTCAGATCTAAATGACGCTCCTTTAAGAGCGTGAAACTGGCCTGACCGGTCTTATGAAAAAATGTAGGCAGCTTTTATTCCATTGAGAATACAAAGTATAATAAACGAAACATTAAGTTGATTAAAACATTAAAAGCAAACGCCTACTGTGAAGAAAAGCCATAAGATAAGAACTTACCTTAAGACTTTTAAGGTTTTTCATGAAAGGTGGGGTCACTCAAAGATACTCAAAGATAGACAAGTTAAGGAGGCAGAATAAGAGGATGTCAAGCAGCGATCAGGCTCACAGTTGGTAGATTCCAAATAAATAGGCTTTAAAAGGCAGTAATCTGTTAATATCATTTCTAAAACTCACAGGTATCGAGGGAAAAGCAGCAAGGTGTGGAGTTGTTTTCTCTTTTGTGAGTCTGTCTCTGTTGTAAGTTTTGGTTTTTCCAGCTGATAGCAGAGTGTTGCAATAGTTGGTTCTTATCCAGATCTGAAACTAAAGGATTGTAAATGTACAACTAGTCACCTGAGCATCAGAAACGACTCTGAGGGAAAAAAGTCTCTCTACCGTTGACAGAGGCAGAAGTAAGCTTTCCACCTAGACTCTTTATGTGCATTTATGTACCCTTGTTACTGCCCCAAAAAATGTCCCCTTTGTTGCCGTCCATACATTAGCATTGCAACAGCCTTGGTGCTATAAATGACTGATTTGTATTTTTCATCTACTGTTTACATTCTTTATATCTTTGTGAAAAGAGTCATTACACAATTATATTTATGAATACTGTTAATATTTTCAATATTTGTTCTCAAGTTTGGTTTAGGCTGATGGGAGTATGATCAGTTTAGCAGTTATTTTGAGATAAACAAACTATTGAACAATATTTTTTAGTAGAGATATGGAATAGATATTTCTGCTTTCATTTGTTTCGTTATGAAGAAAAACCAGATTGTGCTGAACCATGAATGGACCGACACATTTCCACCCTGAGAGCGGTGACTCACTGACTCACCTTATGATGACGAGTAAAATGAAACAGATCCATTTATTGGAAATAAACCCGTTCTTCCTGTAATGGGCGGTAACAGGTGGTGATACTAAACAATATTATCTTTTTAAACTCCAATGAACAAAAAAATTCACTGCCATCAACCTTAAACATTTTGTAAATTAAATAAAAGACAGATATTCCCCCAGATTACAATAAATATTTTTTTATAAAACAAATCTTTACAACACAAAGCATTTTACAGAGTCATTAATAATCCCCATAAACACACACAAACAGTTCTCAGTATTACACAT